GAGCCTCACTGATAACACTCAGCCCTGCAAGTGTGGCAAGCAGCACGCAACCACGCTCTGCTCACCAGGTAGCAGGGAGCAAAGCACAAAGCTGCCTCAGTTCCTCTGGGGAATCTGCTCTTTGCATGGGATTCATTCAGTCCCCACTAACTCCAGAGATGTTAGATAGGACAGATGCTTTCAAAACATGAATCCAACAAAATCCATGTTTACCTTCTGATTTTGAAGGGCGGTAGAACCACACAACCCTTTTACAATTTCTGAATATTAAGTCCAGTAGTAATTAAACCCAAGAATAACAACACATGCTTGCTTCTATAAACACAAAAGATTAAAAGATGCTAACCAGTCTGTAAGAACTAAAGATCACAGCTGCCTGTCCCAAATACTGTTAGGGCCACAGAAGGACTTTGCCACAAGATAAGAACAGAATGGAGCAATAGTGTGGTGCTAACTCCAGACCCGGTGGAGGCAAGATCTGATTAGCACACACTTGGTAATTCATCCAGACAAAAATTCCCGGTGTGGCAAACTGTGCAAAGAAGTAACTGCTTGTTACTTCTTTACACAGTTTGTTGTTACTTATATCACCAGTCAAAGATCACCCCAAGTTATGGGACAGATGGCATCTGCCACCACCAAAGCCCTCCCCCAAATAGTTAAGTAACTGTGACAAGAACTTGAAATAAGATAATAGGTGTTATCTCAGACTGAGGTTAACATAGCCGGAGGAGAAGAATCTATCACTGAAAATGGACACAAAGAATGCAGAATTTAAGAGCCATGAGGAAAGCTTACTCAGCAACTGTGCTGAAATCAGCTCTGACTTGGTAAAAATTCATTCCAGCAGGGGAGATTGAAACCACCCACAACTCAAGAAACCCACCGACCCATAAGAAAAGACTCAGCATGTGCACTAATTAGCATTAGAAGTGAGACAATGATTTAACCAGTAGAATAAGACAACTGTGTAGCCAATGAACATTAATTCCTTTCTCTGCTAAGATATATAAATAGTGAAAAGTTTTGAATGACCTCAGGACCCCCACCACTGAGAAGCCATGGGTAAAAAAGGACCAATGGGATGTCATTTGATCCACAGATGGTGACTAGCTTCTACTTAGCCTCTCTCTCCCCCTCCTCTTTTCCGTTTCTATCTCTCTACCTCAAATTCATTGTTAACTAAAATCCATACTATTGACTTTGGCATGTGGTCTCATTTGCACCTTAATTTGGGCAGAGGCATCTCTCAATAATCAGATCTTAATGCAGTCAGTCTCTCAAAGCTGCAATACATTTTCACAGATGATAATGAAAAATTCAAGTTTACTGGAAAGTAACACAAAGTGAACTCCTTAACTAGCTGAAAAAAGAAAGAGGCAGTGGTTTTGGGAAAACAAAATTAATTGTGCAGTTAGTTAGTTACCTTTTTCTCTTCTGTTCCAGGATCTGATTCACTGAATTTTTCTTCCTGAAAGCTTCTAGTCATCTTCATTTTCTCCACACTCTGAAAAAAGGCTGTTTTTTCTAGTCTGCTTGTGCTGAATCGTGTATTTATTTCTTCCAGCCTGTTAATCTTAAGTAGCTTCATACTATGTCCAGTTAATTTACTGTCTGTTCTCCTCTCCACCTTAGATTCATAAACCAGTGAACACTCGTAACTTCTGATTTCTCCTCTTTCTCGGCTGTACAAAAGAAAGACAAATAAGAGGTCTTAGTGTTATTCATGCATTTTTGCTTAGAAAATTACCATGTTGCAACACTTTATATTTCAGCTCTCTCTCCTTATACTTGCTGAACCAAAACTCAGAGTATACAGCACTGCCTGTTCACAGAGACTGTTCTACACTGAACACCAGATAATTGAAGAAGGCTACAAGACCAATATAATTGAATTTGTTCATAGTAACTATTTAGCTCAATGAAATCAACACCTGCTGCTGTTGCTGCACACCTTGCTTATGGAGCACTCCTCACTTTTAGCCATCTCAGTGGTTCCCTGCTGCTCAACATGCTCTCTTTTCTGTTGCAGTTCCAGCAAGCTGATATGCAAGGACCCTGCTTATCAGGGGTCCAGAAGTCCATTAAGTCCAGAAAGATTTTAGAAACTAAACAAAGTAGTACAGGCCTGAACACAGGCCTTTTCTCTCTCTTCCCACCATCCTCTACCACAAAAATAGGTAGTTGCCAAAATGGTGGCAATTTCTGGCCCTCTGTTGAAGGCTGCAGAGGAGCACAGTGCTCAGCTGGGTTCTTCTCCTCTGCAGGCCCTTGTGATGTGCCTGGCAAGTACAGGATGTAGGATCACTGAGGCTTGTCTAACAGTAGGATTGGTTGGAAGGCCACTGCAAGTCAAGCCTTCTTCTCTCTAGAAGGCTTTTATTCCACAGCAAGGTCATGGGTTCCCACCTCAAGCAAGCACTTGGTTACACTTGGAATATATGTCCTTCTGAACAACTAATTTTTTTAAAAGAGTACTCTAAAATTTCACTTAGCATCTCTTTATACACCCAGGAAATAGAGGACCAAAACATTTCTATTGCTGTTTTTGCAGCCCTTCCTTCATTGTACTGGAAACCCAGCTACAAAAGAACAGTGCTAATGCCTTAGCTCTAGAAAGCTGAATCTGTTAAATCTCATTACACAGCTCATAGTTCAACTTAACTTGCATAAACACCATAAATTATATGGTGTAATTAAGAACTTATACACAACCTTACAGTCACTGGCAGCAGAGAGAAACAGCTTTCAGAGTACAATCAAAGACCCAATTAAATCAGCTATTTTTATCCAAGCACCTTCCAAAAGAAAATGTTCCTCAGTGTTTTGACTCCACATCTGTGCACATGCAGCAGATCAAATGTGTACTATACCAAGTAGCTGCTCTGCCCACAGTTAGCCCTCCAAGCTTCCCAGATGTGAAAGATGCCACGTGCTATCCCATGTGACACGAGAGATGGTTGGATAGTGGTGACATTTAAAGATGATGGACAGCAAAGAACCACATAAGCTTGTAGTTTTCAAATGAGCCTTCCAGAGAGATTCCTGCTACCATGTTGTTGTAGACTGTGCTGTTAATATGGGAGATGCAGGCACACCATAATGGGCCTGTAAGGCATTTGTCATCTGAAGAAGTCATGCATCCAGCATGTAAAAATATCCAATCTGCTGCATCTAGCGTTTCTCACCAACTTTCACAGCTCTGACATCCCTCCCTTTCTATTGCCATCAGCTGAAGGAACACACTAGGAGATTTTCTTCACCCATTTGTCAAAAGCAGGTTTGTGGATTTCTGAGAATTGCAGATGAAATACCCAACAGCTCAGTCTGACCTTCGAGCCATTATTCCATGGATCATCTGATCCACTCCATGGCAAGGGATGATAAGATGTAATCAAAAGCTGTCAGAAAAAAACAGGACATGTTTCCAGATGCCCTTCTGCTACCTCCATGTCTACAGCTACTCAAATCCCACAGTGATTGAGTGACCTGGCTGTGAAGACCTTGTGGCCTGACAGGACTTCAACCAAGGAAAGCTGATTCAGGCTCTCCATAGCTCTCCAAAGAGCACATCATCCTCTAAGCTTTGATCACCAAATGTGGCCATCTATCTTATGAAAATGACATGTCCTAATTAAAGGAAGTTTCTTCAAGCTGACCAGTGAGTTAGTTATCTGGGAAAATATTAATGGGATGGCAAGCTCAAGTGTCTTACTGGGCTCTGTTACCAAGCAGAGACTAGGATTGAGTCCAAACATGATTGTGCTCTCCACCATTATTATCTTAATACATCCCTGAAACAAAAAGATGAACAATAGAATGTGAAATCTGTTTGCAAGTGCCTCCTCCAAAGTCCTAGAGAAGAAATCTCACCCTGGTCATGTGCCACTGAGCAATGGGAAACTATGACCTTCACATGGCGTGAAGTTCCATTTTCCCCCAGAGGAGGGTGAAAACCCTTCCCCAGTCATCTACATTTCCCAGCTCTGGCCTGGGAGATACTTTCTTCTACTTTCTGGGTCATCTTTGGCAAGCCAATCGCTTATTCCAAGCAAAATATCTTGCTTCATGAATCACATCTTCACTTGCACACTCAGAGACCACACATGCCATAAAAGCACTGCTTAGCTGAAAGCACAGGCAGTGCATACCTACGGTCTTGCTGCTTTTTCTACCCTATAGCAGCAAATCAATATATTTGCGCTATAAAAATATAAACAATATAGTAATTGTTTCTAAATCTGATCAGGAATAGAAATGGGCAGGCAAATAGGTATTAGCCGGAAAGTGGAACCCACAAACACCTCATTTCACTTTCAACATCTGCATTTAGATTGTAATCCCTTCAGTAAGAACTAGGTTTACATGATGGGCTGTAAAGCACTTTGCTTCAAACTCAGTCCTTTGGTCTCCATCATCAGTTCAAATAATTTTATTTTTTTTTTTCTGACCTGCTGGCCACTTTCTAACTAGCCATTTTCAAATATTAAGCCTGGGGGTACTGTTAGCCAGTAGCCAGACTTGTTTACCTCCTAATACAGCTGACATTAGATTGACCTGAATTTTACAAGCTGGGAACTATTATGTCACCGTGTATAATTAAACCTAAACATATACTTTAAGAAAGAAAACAAGATGTAATGTGGAAAGAATTACCAATGGGTCAAGTTCGGGTCGTAAATTAGGATGCGAATGGTACAGCTTACTGTGCCCATCTTTGAAATACAACCTGCCCTACATTCTGCAGAATACAAGAGTTCGGGTTTGAATCTAATTTTTAAAAAATTAGTAGTTTATTGATTTTTTTTTCACAGAGAATGACGTTTTCACATACTTCAATGAGAAACCAGGTGGATCCCAAGTCCAGAGAGCTCAGCGATGTTGCCCAGCAGCTGAGGGGCAGCAAAGCCCGGCTGCTGGGGCGGGGAGCAGGCCCGGGCGGACTACAGCTCCCGAAGGGCTGCGGGCGGCTCCGCTTCCTGCCCGGGCCGCGGGAGCCCATGGAGCCGACGGAGGGCGCCGAGGAGGAGCGGGTGGTCCAGTGCCCCGTGTGCCTGCGGGAGCTGCCGGGCGCCGACATCAACGCGCACCTGGACCGCTGCCTGCAGGCCGGCGGCGCCGAGGCCGAGCCCCCCAGCAAGCGGCCGCGCCTCGCCGCCGCCCCGCCGGGCAGCCAGGCCGAGGGGCAGCCGGAGGAGGCCCGCCCGCCCGCCGCGTCCCCCGTCTTCTCCCTCTTCCACAAGGGCCGCGGCGGCGGGAAGAGCGGCGCGGGGCGGGACGAGGCCGCCGTGCCGGCGGGCCATGGATGCGCGGCCGCGCTGTGCGGGGAGAGCCTGGCGCAGAAGCTGGAGGGGAAGCCCCTGGCCGAGCGGCTGCGGCCGGACACGCTGGGGGACTACGTGGGGCAGGAGCGGGTGCTGGGGGCAGAGACCCTGCTGCGGTCCCTGCTGGAGTCCCACGAAATCCCCTCGCTCATCCTCTGGGGGCCGCCGGGCTGCGGGAAGGTGAGTGCGGGCGGCCCCCTCGCAGCGTGCGGGGTCGGGCCGCTGCTGCTTTACGTGGCTCTTGAGGCCGCTGTACCTAAAACATGCTCATTTTCGGACTCTCTCTTTTCTTCGCTCTTCTGTCTTCTTGGTTTCTTCTGTAGGTTCCTTACGTTGGCTGATGTCCATTAGTTTTCACTTAAGATTACAAAAAAACACAACCTGCCTCGTGAATAAAATAGAATTGGTCTGCCCCCATCAGCCCCGCTCCATGCAATTTGCTCTTTGGTTACACAAGGCCTCTCTTGCTTTCAGATAATTCAGATCTCATAACTCCAAAGTCCATACCTACAACATAAGCCGTGGTTTAGTTAATGGCTGAGAAGCTGAAAAACAGCCGCAACACAGAATCTCTAAATACGTCTAGGAAACCAGCAGGTTAATACAGCACAGTTTGTGAGTACTAGGTTTGTTTTAGCCTATGAATTCTTGCCCCTAAGAGAAGGCAGCACTGGTGTGGAAGGCAGATAACTTTTGGCTATGTACTCATCCACCTTCAACCACTTTTAGGCTGGTGGGTCTTGCAGGATCTGACCACTGCATCTTCATGTTCTGCCTCCTTTAGCATACCAGGGGCCATCATGAACCCCCAGAGACCGTCTAGCACAGCAGTGAAGGGATTCACAGTTGTTGTGAGGGAAGGACCAAAGGAATGCCTCAGGTGTGATTGAGCAGTGTTTATGATCTCGCCTTAATTTTGTCCTGTTCTTCCATGTATTTCAGATTTGTTGTGTGGCAGGGCAAACAAAATACAGTTTTCTCTGTCAGTCTAATGTGTTCACAACATTAAGTTTCATGTATTATATATTTCTATAATATGGTGTGTTGGTTGTGTGAGAGTGTGTTTGAGAAATCTGGGATAGGGGAAGCAATTAATGCTTAGCAGAGAAGGACAGAGCAGCAGCTTGCTCTTGTCAACATACTTAATTGAAAAAAAAAAAGACTTGCTATGTCATGTTTGAATAATAATGCTAGTCAATCACAGTAAATAAGGAGCAGGTGTTAGAACGAGATGAATACCATTAGCAATGATGCAGCAGGTTTCTTAGGCTAGATAACATAACATACACCTCAAAAGAACCAACTAGTGAACTTCAATAATTGCCACTTCCTTTAAAATAACAAAGTAATCGCAGAAAGTAAGAGCTCAGAATAGATGGGGTGAAGAAGGGCTCTTTCTGAAAACTGATTAAAGGGGAGGTGGATTGACTGAAGTAAGATGGCCAGAGAGAGAAGTGGAATTCGGTTCTTTAATAAATAGGAATTCTTCTTTCTGAATAACACATTCAGGGGCTTGCTTCTATATTTTTTGTGGTCTCCTGCCTTTTGTTTCTTGTTATCTCTGTCAGCAGCATGTGCTTGCTCTTTCTTGAAGCCCTCTTAAAGCTGTACAAGTACAGTGGTAGCAAAGCAAAGGCTGCAGAACAGCCTCTGCAAACTGGCACTGGCTTCAGTGGCCTTTGAGTTGTGATCTGATGAATGCACCTGGCTTTGACCATGGAAGTGCTTTTTCATGAGCTTGTGACAGCTTAACAGTTGTGTTCCAGGTCTCCTTTAGGAACCTTGTGTGGTACTGAAAGTGTCTTTAAGTAAAGGGTGATCTGTTTTATGCCTGTGATGTCACAGCTTTTGTTCTCCTTTTATACGGCGCATGGTCTTCACCCATATGCTTTACGCATAATTGTATTTAGTAAGCTTGCTTTTCACAGAGTTTAAATTCTGTTGTTCGTCACTTGTCTGGCTTGCATCATTTCTGTGCCTTTTGACCCTTCAAAGAACAGTTCCACAACTCCTCTGTTACATTTTTACTCACTGAGTAAAAATATTATCGAGTAACTCTTCTGCTTTCTAGGTTATTCCTTCTCAGCAGAGTTTTGAGTCTATCTGCTTTCAGCTGGCTCCTGATGAAACACCCATTATTGGCTGAACCAGAATTTCCTTCTGCAAAAAGTTGAACTTTGCCCCTTCACCCACATTTATCAATATTTCTAGGATGGTGCTAGTGTAGAGTTTTATCTCAGGCCTTCTTCCCCATAAATCATAATGTCTGTCTGAGTTAAATAGCTAAAAGTTCTGTTCTTTTCTTGGATGTGTCCTTATAAAATTCCTCTCCTGACAGATTTAACATGCAAGCAAAGTAGTCGACCTGAAGATGAAAAAGGAGATCTGTTCTTGCCTGCCTATCCCGCTCACTTACTATTTGAGTTGTATGTATATAATGTGTCTAAGAAGACATTCCATGAAAAAGCAATATTGGGCTTGAAAACATGAAAGATCCTGTAGAGGAGAGGTAAGCTCACTGCCTCAGAACCTGGTTGGACTGATCAGCAAAAACTGCTTCCATTAAGTACGGTGCTTTTCAGCAGTAACAAGGCCATATGCTAAGCTCTGCCCATCAAAGAGCTAAAATAGCAGCATAATTAGATATGTTGGTCTAAATTCAGAAGTGCTGTGTAAGGTGGTCATACATTTCTTAAACCTCTACAGGCTCTTGCTACCCATGGAATCTGGTTGTTGCAGCCCATCTATGCCTTCTTCCATTTCTACAGCCAAATGCCATGGTAACTGATACTTTTGAAAAGGGTAGAGCAGGACTAAGTAAAAAAAATAACATGCAGTAAATCATCAGGGCCAAATTTCAAATCAATTTATGTATTATTTTTCAATCTGGATGTTTATGAAAAATTGTAGTTCAACAAACTTTTTCTAAGCAGGAAGAAAATAATCTTGCTTGTTAAAGTGCTATAAATGTAATATGTCTTATTGTAGGTCAAGAGTATTTTTGGAGAATTTTTATCATGAGAACAATAAAGCTAGGTGCTAGAGTAAAAACATGTGTGCTATGTAACTGCTCTGCCCAAGTCGATTTTGGCCTCAGCTTCACTTGAATATTGAAGGAAACATCCTCAAAATTGAAAAGACAAAATTGGGGTATTTCCGTTGCGATCCTCTTTTCTTTTGAGTTTCCATCTGTACTGAGTCCTCTTACTTTAAGGGAACATGATCTTTGTACCTTGAATCTGTCATCCTAATTATGTAGGAAGCCAAGGTGCTCTGATGAAAAGACTTTGACTTTTTGTTTGCCCTTTTGTCACTCTAAAGTGTTGAACACAAGAGCCAGTTTTCTTCTTTTAAGAAGCTGATCAGACTCAGGCCAGAAGAAACAGTGCTTCAAAGAGATGCCGTAGTTATTAACTTAGGAACAGTTAGCTTGTTCATACTGACTATGCAAATTTTTAAAGGCCTGTATAAATCCGAGTGTAATGTGAGTAAGCTGTGCTGTAATTTATGGCACCTTAATACAGGGATTTAGATTTTTGCATGTCTGCCATTGGGGCACCAATTTTAGTAAAGAGTTAGCGGGGGGACACAGCGTAACTTGAGCACCGAATAATTTTGCTGCCACAGATGAAGTTTAAGCCTTATAAACCTGAACATTCCGTATTTAAGTACAGTAAACATTCCCTCTTATGGCTGCTGTGTAACAAGAAAAAAATTGGTAGCAAGTGGCATGAACCCACTCCTTACAGAAGATAAGACAAAGAGTGTTCATGCATGATTTTTTGAGGTTCATGTGTGCACTCCAATAATAAGATAAAATATGCAATGTTGGTATAAGTGCAAAACATTAAAAACCCCAGTAAGTGGTCTTTGAAGTTTCTATCAGATCTTCTCTGACATTACATTTTATTTCTAGGACTCCCTGTATTTTTTTTTCTTTGCATTCAATAAATGACCTATTGAAACACAGACAGAAAGTCCAACACCTGTTTTGGTGCCCACGTATTTATCATCACTTCTCAGTGCTTCCTATTTTGCTGATTCAAGTGGTTACCTAATGGGCTGTTTGATTGCTTGAGTGTATTTTGTCTTCTCTTACTCATACAGCTTGGGACCTGATTTGAACAATTTGAACTAATGAGTTCTTTCGATTGATTACCATGAAATTTTAAACTAAAAATGCGTCATGTCTTTTACAGTAGTGTAAGCTGAAAGTCCAGGACAACTCTGGAAAATGGGTTAGTCCTTGCAGTTACCTGTGTTTGCAACACTTCCTTTGCAGGGAGCAGTGTGCTTGGTTTTGCTTATGCCAATCTAAATCAGGAATAACTTGGGGTGGCTCTCTAGGAAGAGAACGCTGGAAGAGAAAATACCATTGTATCCATACAGCAGTTGGAATTCAAGTACACAATTCAGAATAGAGCAAATGGAGATACAGCTCCATTTCAACAAACATTATGCAATGACCTTGCATCTGTTTATGCTTGGTTGGGCTTGGATTCTGGAAGTGCTGTAAAGCACATACTGTGTCTCTTGTTCAGTGACACTTACTCCTCCAGTAGTATCTCAGTGGGCTATTTGGGGTTTGAGGAACCAAACAAGATGGGTAAGAATAGCATCTGCCCTTATATAAACACCAACTGCTGCTACTTTTGATTGTGTTTATCTCTATAGACAGTGTCCCCAGGCCATGTTCACCTGCTGTGCTGCCAATTTCCTTTAGACACGGCCTGGCTTATCTCCTGTGACGCAGTGTGGCACAGAGAACATCCACAGAGCTACATCCCAGAGAGCTGCTGCCCTGTGTGGCATCCAAGGATGCTGTTGGTGTCTCCCTCAAGGCAGTGAAACAGAGCACGGCCTTTCATGATTGCTTGGCAGCCACAGTGTGGCCCTGCTGCCAGCAAAGGGAGGGTTGAAGGTGAGGGGACACCATTGATGGCAACACCATGTAAACAAAGATTTGGAAATCCTGGTCAGAATAAAGGAAGAGCAAAAAATAGCTGCAAAGTCACGGTCAAACAGCAGCAAAGAAAATCAGGATGCTAGTTCAGCACTCTGATAACATAGCTTAGACCCTACAAGTCTGTAGGTGTAACTAGCCTGTTGTGTTTTGCACTAGGCTTATCAGTCTCTTGTCATCCCTGCCACAAACATAGTTTACATTGTGATTTGCTCTGGAACAAGCCAGCAAAGTCACTTGTTGGGGAAACCTACATGCCAGCTAGATTATTCCTGCTCAGGAATAATCCATGCTGTGCTGCACTTGTGCCAGTCTGTGCCAGATCTGCTTTGGTCACCTAAACGTGGCCTGGCAGAGCCTACAGCCTTCCAGGCTTCCTGGGAGAACTGTGTAGGACCTTAGGTTTCACAGTATTCTTGATATGGTCTAATCCTGTGTTCTAATCCCTTCCCAGGTTTTTCCAATTCCACTTCCTGAAGTGAGTTTGGCAGTACCACTCTTCATTCTTGTAAGGAACTTTGGTGAGCTAATTTGAAGAGCATAGTTTAATGGCCTGGTGCAGAACTGCAAAAATCAATAAGATCATCGTACTTGTGAGCAGGTAGCATTGAACATCAGCATCAATAAGACTGGCTTAACTTGTACGGGCTTTTAACTGTTTCTTCCAGCCGTGGATGTGAGAGAGCTTTGACTACTGGCAGTGCAGAGAGGAGGGAAATAGGTCATACCTAAAGAGTGTTGCCCAGTCAGGGAAACTTCTGGATGTACAGAAAATTCTTGTCTCCTAGCACAAACACCCAGCTTACCAAACAGCAAATCTGATGGACTTTTCTGCTCTGACAGTGGGAGGTGTGTGGAGCCAAGCATGCTTTGTGGGTTGCTTTTGTTTCATCTGTAACTTGTATCAAAGCCTAGAAAAATGAGTAGCATAGTTGCTGTGAGTCAGCTTGATTGTTTGGGGTGTTTTTTTGTTTGGTTGGTTGGTTGCTGGCTGTTTGTAAATCTGAGACGGTTTCAGCCGCTGGGAAAGGATATTCTCATTTGGGCTGACAAAAAGCAATAGGTACAGGATGGTGAAGGAGAGTTTCAGTAGTTAAGTGTTTGTTCTGTGTGCAATGGGTCTGGAAATAAATGACCATGGGCTGAAGTTAAGTGTTAATCATTGGTGAATAATGGTTCGAAAGTTTCTTGGTGAATATGTTTCTGTTTCAGAACAGCTTTTTATGATGTCACTGCTTTAGCTTGTCTAAACAAGTAGGTCAGTAAAGTCTCACAATATTCAGCGTAAGAGTTGAGATAATAGGTATGAGTTTGAATAGTTTGGCATCATAGTAGAAGAGAACTAAGAATGGTTTCTAGAAGGGGCAAGGAGCTGTCAGCTCCTTGTAAGGTGTTATTTTTAGTGAAGTTAGCAAAAGGTCAGTTTGCAGGATCACTGGATCACTCCTATTCTTAATTTGTGGGAAACAATATTCCTGCTCCTGCCCATAAAGAAAAAAACATGAACTAAATAAGAAACACCTGTATAATAAAAGGAGCACATTACCAACTTGTTTGAATTTTCCTTTTGTGCCTGTTATGCAGGTTCTGATTCAGGGGTACAGTAAATTGCAACATCAGTGTCCCTATTTTAAAAGATTTGTTTTCCAGTATAAGAATCAAACATCAAAATTTATTTTAGATTATGAAGGATAATCAGTGTATTTTCTTCTGCCTTATTCCATATCAGATTTCTAAGTTTCTTCTTGTCCCTTAAATACATTGCCCATGGGGGAAAACTAGGAAATTAGCATATGAGTTATAGGTGTTTTGTGCTAGTGCCTTCATACTTAAGCTACTTTGCTTACATGAATTCTCTACTAGGTTTTGGGTTCCTTTAGGTTGTAACCTGAAGTAACAAAGAGGGAGAAAACTGTAGCTTGTTACTGACTTTTGCTTGAGATGGCAGGACAAAAAGCAGCATAAAAATCCTGAACTCATGGGAAGTCTTTCAGAGAATCAGGGAAAGTTTTACATCTGTGTGATAGGCAGTTTGACTTGCTGAATGATTGATTGTGCAGAACAGAAGGAAGAGGTTGTGAACATGCCTGTCCTTGTCAAGCATTGCATTTGAAAGGCAATGTATGTTATTCTTATTGCAACCTTTGATGACCCACAAGTTGGCAGAGGGAGAAAGGTATCTGCTGGCTGAGATGCGTGCAGCAGATTTCAAGTAGATTCTTGGTCTAACAGTAACTTTCAAACAAATCTCTTTGATTTTTTTCCCCTAAATTAGGGTAAAAATGTGGACTTCTGTGCATGTGTAAAAAACAAAGTCTTTACTGCTTTTTTTGTAAATAACAAAACTCTCTGAGTGACAGCCAGGGTACAATGTGAGCTACCAGTCCAGGTGAAGCTACAAGAGCTGCTTTATTTTTTTTTTTCTTTGTCCTCTCACCACTGCCACTTTTAGAGAAGGAAAAGATACATTGTCTTTTTTCATCCTCAAATTTGATGTATTGGATCTTTGTGTGCTTTCAGAGATTTTTAAGTCATGGATATATCCTCTGAAGTTACATCCTGATTCAAGGCCCTTTTGTAAGGAAACGTGAATTTTGGTTTTAATTTGATAACTCAGTTTCAAAGATATTTTTCTTTTGGTTTTGATGGGGTGGGGGTGGAATTTGCTTGTTTGTTTATTTTCTCAGATCTTGCTAATATCTGTAGGCTTTGCTGCAAACACTTTCCAAGTGTTTTTCCAGTCTTGTCTTCTGCAATGATACAGTTTGGGGATGGGCTGGTGGATTGAGCTCCAGGAAGCGAGGAAGGATCTGACATGGGATGCGAGTCTTGTGTCAGGACCTGAAATGACACTGCTTCTGAAGGCAATCAGGAAGCCCTTATTAAAACTGAAGCAAGAATAAATAACAATATATCCTTCTCCTTGGCCTCCCATTTTCTAACTTGGGCTGGTTGCGGTTTCAGGGACAAGGAAATCCATTAAATGGACAGAGCAGGGTACTGCAACACTGTTGGTAGCCAAGTGGTAGGTGCTTGTTTCTGCAGCCTCCCTGCAAGAGGATCAGGTTGACACCACCTGCTGCTTTAACCTCAGCACTTAGAATATCTTCTGAGGTGGTTTTGTTGGCACCTGTCCCTGTCCTCATCTGCTGAGACTCTCCTGTCTTCGGTCTCCTTTGGATCCTTCTCTAATAGAACAGTGAGCTTGATGGAAGAATCACCTGTTTTCTCTAGCAGTACTTTCAAATAGAGATACACTCTCTTTGGGGCATACACCTGTGTTAACTAAGGTTGTGAAGGAAAGTCTCAAAACCATGTCTGTGATATGTTCTGGTGTAATCAATCTACCCAGGAGGTTGGTGGAGGTTGGTTGTATCTGTGCTTTGGTAGGCTAAATAAAATTATAAATAAATTTGAATTTGAAGGGGTTGTTCATAAGGACAGAAAAACAACATAGCTGCTTACTAAAAACAGCCAGTTTGTTCAGTCAGCTACCTTTTGCTTCTCTGGGTCAGCATTTGATTACTGTTAACTATTTAGATTTAAGAGGTACATTTTTTGAAGTTCACATGTCAATTTCTAATGCTAATGTTCTCATGCTTTTGTAGAAATTGCAGTCTGATTAATTTCATTTTTATGTGTATTTGAAATATAAAAGGGTTTAGTTAATAACATTGTAGCTTTTTATTTCTCACATGCAGTTGCACTGTAAGCTCTTAGGCAGGTGTCTTGGGGTAGTCCAGCTCTTTATCCATTAACATGCTCCACAAAATAACTGCAAAGGGAATTGCAGTCAGCCCGTCTTCTGTGACAGAAATGTATTTGGCAGAGGGTTCTTCCGTGACAAAGGAGACAGCTGTCAGTGCTGTCCTTTTCAGTACTGAGGCTCAGTGGGTCTGGTATGGAAAAGTGCAGGCATTGGAAATGCAGCAGAGGATTTGGCAGCTACCTCTAGCAGGAAGTTTTTAAGTTTTCTGTGCCCTAGAATAACGTGAGCTAAAAGCTTAATGTTAACTCTGTAAACTGTCAACACTGTCCCTATGTCCAAAATATATAGCTTTGTTCTTTACGTATTTCCTTTAAATTGGTACTTTCTGTGTCTGAACTGATTTTTACAAAGCTTTCTCCTATTGCTGTTTCAGACTACACTGGCACACATCATAGCCAACAGCAGCAAAAAGAATGGCATGAGGTTTGTTACACTGTCAGCCACAAGTGCCAAGACAAATGATGTTCGAGATGTCATCAGCCAAGCCCAGAATGAAAAAAGACTCTTCAAGAGAAAAACTATCCTCTTTATTGATGAGATCCATCGTTTCAATAAATCTCAGCAGGTATTGTACTACACTGCTTTTTTAAAAGAGCCTTGGTCAGCACTTCTGTAAAATCTCCCACTTTGCCTTAAGGTGATACCTTCCTCTGGGCTTTTGATTTCAATGTTAATTCTTGTAGTAGATGAATTTGGCAGAAACATAAAAATTAAATTCCTTAGCTTACTTCCAACCAACATTTAATTATTGTGATTCAAGGATTTAAATAAAAGACTGAGTTATATATATATGCCAGTCTTTATATGATACTTTTATGAAATTTTATTTTTTGCAAAGTCATGTTAGTAGTGTTTGCTGCACACATCTTCATTTTAGACTCCATCTGGGGAGTAGCATTCTGTATTACCTTTACAAAGGTCTGGAGTGTGAATGTGCCAAAGGTGGGTATTTTAATGTTGTCCTCTCTTCTGTGTAAGAAAAAAATAAGTCATGGCATGGTACTTCAGGATAACACTGCAGCCATCACTTAGGCTTTTTTTCTTTTTTCTTTCCTAGGTATAAGGTTTTTTTCAGTTGTGCCATGGACAGCTTGAATTCTGTACTACAGGTTACAGTTTTTAAATTGAACTGTTCTGTAATCTTCCTGTAGTTTACTGCGTACAGAATTAAGCAGGGAATTGTAGCCCTAAAGGTTGATTCAAAGCGTATTTAGGAGTAGCGTCACTATTTGTTATCCTTGATAAGGCAATTTCATGATTTCTTGTGTTGCCATGCAATAAACCAAAGTCACACAAACCCAAAACTTGCAGATTTCTTTACCGTATTTCTTTTCAGCTGGCAGGGTCATTTTCAGTGGAGTCATTTATTATTTCCATATCTGTGCACATTAACTGCCTTGTCAATGTGGTTATTTGTCATATCAACAGGGAACCCAAAGTCTCACAAGATGCAAAAAAAAAAGGTAGCCTACTCACATGGGGTGTTTCAGGTTGTCATTGATCGAGATCAGCTTTTTCTGCTTCCCTCCCATGCTCAGGACACTTTCCTTCCTCACGTCGAGTGTGGGACGGTGACCCTGATAGGAGCGACCACAGAAAACCCTTCCTTCCAAGTCAACGCCGCTCTCCTGAGCCGGTGCCGGGTGATCGTCCTGGAGAAGCTCTCGGCTGAAGCGATGGAGGCAATTCTGATGAGGGCTGTCAGGTTCTTAGGGCTCCAGGTTTTGGGCCAGGGCGACCAGCACGGCACCCCTGCAACTGGCAGCAGCAGCAAGAGCTCGGAGTGAGTACTTTATGGGCTGCGGGGTGTTAACGTGCACAACCCGAGGAGCTGACTGCCTGCCAGGGAGAGAATGAAGCAGTTGGGGGTGGGAAGAGAAACCCTAGCCACTTCTGATAGTAAAGAAAAGAAGTGGCAGCATATGGCAGGGGCGGGGGTGACAGGAGAGAGAGAATTCAAAGCATTGGCTCTCTCCATCCAAAACATAATCTCACCGTCTGGATTAGGACAGAATTTTATACTTGGATCCGTAACTCCTGACTCACCCTCTCAGGATATTTAAATCTGTTGTGCTGGTGAGGATTTGCTGTGGAAGCCTGTATCTGGGTCTTTATCATGTCTCAATGTGTGTTACTTCTCGCTACTGATTGTAAAAGCATTATGTTACCGTTAAGTGCTGGATGGGCTATCCCCTCTTAATTTGGAAGTGCCTGCCAGAAGTTTGTTGTTTTCCGAGAATATGTTTTTAATGAGATCAGGGAGCATGATGCTGCTTCTGTTCTTTGGTTGTAGGATAAGTCCTGTGCTGTGTTTTAGGATATCCAATGACGAGAGGAGACTGTTGCTGTGAGACATTAATAGATTGTTTTAAGAGAGACTTTGTTTTTCTCTGCTCCTTGATGTCCAGACAGATAGATTCATATTAAACACTTTAGAAAGTTTTAGAAAAAGAACATCCAGATTTGTCTACAAGAGATGTTATCTGCCTTCTGAAACAAGAGGCTGGCAAATAAGAGTAATGCGTGGTACTGTGGTACTCACGTGCAAGCTATTACACTTCCTTCGTGTTGGTTCTTGGCTGCACTCCTGGTAATTTACAGTGCATTGGCATGGTGGTGATTGACAGACTGTATGAAATAAATGAGAGGGAATCCACTTGAACTTTGTCACAGAATGTAAGCACAAAGAATTGCCAACCTGAATGCTGAGGTCAGGACAGGTAAGGAAAGGTATTCCTTTTTTATTTTTAGGTTACCCGCCTCATGGTTTACTCATTTGTAGCTTTTATGTGTTGTAGTAATGTGAATTTTAGAAGAGAAGGCAGTACTGCATGTCAGCATTAATGTAGTGGCACAGCTGTGGTTGTGGCTACACCCTTACTGGGGTTCAGAGGCTTTCCTTTCTATACAGGATTAAAGTACAAGGCATAGTTTCAGCTGCAGTTGTTTGGGTTTGGATTTCGCTGGACTCTCCATGTCTAACCTTCCAATAGCAATGGATGATTTAAACAGCACGGTGCTTCATCAAACTGAAAGAAGTCTGGCAGGCAGACATCAGACTAACAGTTTCAGAAATCTCTCCCTGGGGAGAGAGGGCCACACTCCAAGGCAGTCATGGGAGCCGAGCCTTTAAAAATAAAAATGGGGGTTTGAATTGAGGAGGTTTTGTTGCAGTTGTGTCTTTCTTATCTTTCATTATGCAATCTGGTGCTGAGCTACAATTCCTACACTCTGTTGCTGATAAGTTCAGATTTTTATAAGCCATTCACCCTCCCATGGTTCTGGTTTGGATTTCTCATTGATTCCTGCTTCTTGCTTCAGTGTCTGTACCATTTCTGCTTCTTCATTTCCTCTCCACTGCTCTGCAGGAGCAGCTGTCTCAGCTTTTTACACCCTTTCCTCTATGGAACAGGACTGTCATTAGATGCAGGCAGGTAACTGTTCATGGTGTCCTGAAGAATAAATGGAAATCCCCAATTACAATTCATTTGGTTGTTAATGGTGCTCGCCTTTATACCAGAGTGAGAAAAGGAGCTGTAAGGCAGTGCGTCCCCAAACCGTGGGGTCAACCCACTTTGAAAATGCTTCAGAGATCTAGCAGGAAGGCACAAGAGATGTGTACATTGAATTTTGGGTTTCATTTCCCATGTTAGTCTCCCTTTCCAAGCCACAGCAGTGTAGTATGAAGTACTGCATGTGCTACTTGGCCTCAGTTAATCAGATGGTTTTAGTATCACATCAGTTGTCTGACACGATGACTTACCTAGGAGATTTTGAAGGAGAGGATGATTCTTTGTGGTCTCTCCTATTACCTTGAGGAATAAGGTGAGGGTGAATCTTCCTTAGTCTTTACAGGCATCTTCTGTGCTTGGCAAGGATGCAGCCATCCCCAAGCGATCCAATGGATTTCATCATCTGTGCTCCACAAGGAAAGTGTGCTCTACCCGAAACTGTTTCCCTAGATTTTCTTTGTGGATTTTTCTTACCTTGCTTCCACCATTGGTGCAGGTTTCTGATAAGGTTAGATCACCTGGATTCTCTTTCACTCCACTGTGGCCTTTTCTTGCTCTAAAGCTAGAGCAACTAGCAGTGAGTTTTACTTCTTGGATATCTTTCTGTTTGTTGTGTCATCATGGCTCACAAAGGTTCTTTGACAGTTTTTATGTTAATTACTGGATTTATTTAGGATAATATGTGCTTTTTGTTATATTTGCATCAGCATTACTGCCATCAAACTGTGCCTCTGAAGTCTTGAGTAAATCTGAAGACTGTACTTTACTGAAGTCTTTACAATCTGAAGACTGTACTGAAGTATAGTCTTCAGTATACTGAAGATGAAGAAATGAGAAAGGAAGAAACATACTCATGATGAAGGAAAGTAAGAAGTCAATGTTAAAGATGTTTTTTATTGCTGCAACTGCTTGTGCTTTCTGCAGTTTATGCTGTGTCAGTAGCAGCATCAGCTGTTCCAGGTGTGCACTGATACATTACCCTTGTACTGTGTCAGGTGGAAGAAACCATATTCTTCTCGTGGCTTTTTATTTTTGCCATTCAAGTGCTGCCCTCAGAATGGTATCTCTAATTGAAGTCAGACAGTAAACTGGATGGTTGATTAATGTGTCTGAAGCTAGATAGCACAGAAGGCACACAGCTGAGGGAAATGGAAGGAACCCCAGGTTCCTGTTGGCAAGCCCAGACATCATGCAGTTCAGCTTGCTACTGGCTGTATTACAAAGTTCTGGCGTGTTTTGAATTCACTGGTTCGTAAATCACAGCACTGACGGTGGAATTCCTTTGGATCTTTGGTGTTCAATACTTTCTTGAAAATTATTCCTTAGTTGGAATATCCATTCAATTTCCTTGCAGGAAATGAGTTGCTGAGGTGAGAGGCAATACTGGGAGACAGTGCTGTAAGGCAGTGAGCAGTGCATATCACACTGCAGTAGTTCAGTTGAAGAACTGTTTGCCTGTAAAAGTGTTGCAATCTGCCAAGGAGTGAACATAGTGAGAATAATTGCACTGAGAAAGTAAGAAAGTACTGATTGGTAGGGAAAGAAGCAGTGAGTGCTTTATCTTGTGTTTTGCTCAGTAATTTTTTTAATCTTTGATCACACAGATTCTAGTTGCTTGGGATTCCTTATATTTACTCCCTGATACTGCTTATGCTCTCTTGTCATTGGCTCAAGTGCAGTGGTGCTGTGTGGGTTTAATGGGTTGTTCATCAGACATTTCATGTTGGTTCTTGGCACAAACTGTCTCAAGGGAATGGCGATAAAGAGGACCTGGGAAAGGATTTATTATCCTGTAGTGGTAGTTTTCCATTCCTTGAGCTAGTATATCACCTTCAGCCCAGTGAGTGATGGATCCCAGCACGTCCCTTTTGGCTTGTTTATGTTTTGGTCTCCGTATCATTGGTTACAAGGTACCAATATTGACCCTTGGCATCCAGTGGGCGTTAGGTGTTAATTTTGGAAGTTGAATAAAATATGGGATTGCCCATCTGCAAGCGTATCAGGAGCTTGGAAAGAAGTCAGAAAGCATGGCAGTTATTCTGCCTTGTGGTTCTGATGGATGCAGAAGTTGGAAAAACTGGAGGGAGTAGGGCACTTGAGCTTCTGAAGACAGGATGGGCTTAAAAATGTAAAACACAACAGTGGTTTTTGGAAGCCGAGGTATTGAAATAATTGCCATCCTGATTTTGAAATTAGACTCCTGCCTAGTGAAGTTAAATCATCAGAAAATGGAATTTAAGGTCCTAATTGCTCAGAAAAAAAATCTCAATTCAATTATTCTGAGTATAACATTTTTTATTTTGAAATACTGAATGTGTATGGAGCTGAGATTATGCAACAAGAAAGCATTGTGTTATTTCTAATCAGTGATTCTCATCAATGTGCTGTGCAAACAGTTTGTATGTGGAAGTTTTCTCCATTTATTCTTGTTCTGTATCACATCCTGCATGTCATGCTATTGTAGGCATGGACTGGATCAGCCAATACATAATGCATCATTTGGATTGGAATTGCCATTACCCTTAGGTTACAACTGAATTTTAGCATGGAAATGAACAAGGCCATTGCTTGTAACCAGCTTTTTCATACTTTCTTGTTGCAGTGCGATTTCCTGTTTCACCTATCCCAACCCCCTCAGGTGTGCCAACCTTCCCCCTCCCCCTTTTGCCCTCCTGCCTAAGAGCTGTCCATCAATCTTAACATTCCAGCAGGGCATCGTGTGGTTGGCAGATGCTCCTCTGGTCCGGGCTCATTGGCCTGTCCTAGCGTCTATCTCCCTTGGGCCTTCCCCTCCTCACACCTGGTTGGCCCTCACCTGTCCCTCCCCTCCCCCTGAGTAGGGGGCTTAAAAGGACACGAGACCATGTGGCAGTGGTCAGTCGGTGAGCTGTTACCACATTCAGAGGTCTACCATGATGCAATAAAGCTCTACGATAGAACCCGCTTCTTTTCACTGCCGCTTGAACCTTTTCCACCAGAGGTAAACTGAGTTCCTACTTTGCCTGGATTTGTTCCGAGCAGCAGCATCCAGCCTGCCAAAGGTATCTCTGGGGTGAAACACCACAGCTGCTGCCTTTGGTGCAGCAGTAAGGGTCAGAAGAAGCCAGGCACCCCACACCCGGAAACATCAGGACTAATATTCAATACTTTCTTGTGTATATTTGTTTCACTTTCTGTAATATAAATTGCTTACGTTGAGTCAACAGGGCAGTTAGAGTCCTGTAGTGAAACAAGAGACAGGAATACAACCCAGCTTTAAATTAGCAGATAAATTGCAAAAGTGCTCTGAGGCCTCAACTTTTTTTGGAAAAGACTGCACTTAGCTTCTTCCAAGGTAGTACCTGCCTTTTAGTGCTCTCAATGCTTCCCCTTTCTTGGAGTCACTGTCTGCAGCTGTGGTATCGTGTGAGGAGGCCTCAAGCACAGGATGTGTTTCTTTGCAAGCAGCAGGCAAAGAGCTCAGTCCTTGAAGGTGAAACCTTCTCTCAAGTATGCCCTGCTGGTGTGTGAGAAGTGTTTGCTCATCATGTTGTATATTTGAAGTTGTTTCTGTTGAAGGAGGTCTTAGCAGCAGGATGTCTGTGTGTGGTGCCTGCTGGTTTTTTAAAAAGAGCTTTTGCTTTCTTTGCTGGCTTTTTTAATTTAATGCTTATGAAAGATCTGTAGTGCTGAGGGATGAATGTTGCTTCCTGATTTTCAAGGAATTTGATGCTTGAGATAATTGACTACATCTCTGTGCAGATGCATTGTTCTGCTTCCTTGTTCAATGATGGTGTTTGAAACACCCTGGCAAAAGTGCCACTCTGTGTGTGTTAATATCTTTTATTAGATTCATCAAATACATGAGAAATAAGGACATGGAAAAAAGTCATGATGAGATGCATGTGATGCATCTATTTTGCCAGGATGTGATGTCTACTCTCTGCAGTGTGGGATTTGCCCCTAGAAGACATTTGTCAGCTTTCACTTGCAGTGGTAGATTAAGATTGCAGCTCTACTAATTCTTCCTTTTTATGTGTGGCCATGAAAGGACTCAAATATTAACTGCTAAAATTTTTTCAGAACCTGCAGATTTTTTCTTTTGTGTGACAAGTGCAAAGTGGGTTTGCAAGGAGGATGAGATGGCAAGTAAAGAAAATCAGTGGACACATCTGTCAGTGAATCCTGATGCTGCCTTTTTCTACACCACTGGTAGTAATAGTAACACATCTTTTGGTAAATGAAGTGCAGGGCTGTTGTGAATCCTTAATTATTTGACACACAAGAGCTTCATAAGAAATGGCCTCTCACACCAAGCCCTATGTGCTAATCTTTACTGATACCTGTCACTCTTGATTTACAGTGCAGCTACTAGAAGTGGCTCAGTTAGGGCCCTTAATGTCATGTTTTAATTCCATTAGCTGCTGTCTCCAAATCAGATCAGTTATGCCCTCTGCCTGGCAACACCTTAGATGTTACCTTTTCTACATAACTGAGGTTTGAGGGTTAATTCCCCCAACAGGGTGCCTGGGAAACATGCAGAGGTGAACTGGTTTGGATGTGTCCCAACAGTGAGGACTGCAGCCTAGCAGATGAAAACCTGGAGACAAAGCTTGTGGACTTTGTTATTCTCACAGATTTTTCATGGACTCATTAGAAGATCACAGGAGATCCTGCTGCTGCATTTCCCATCTTCATAGAATCACTGAATATTCTGAGCTGGAAGGGACCCACAAGGATCATCAAGTCCAACTCTTAAGTGAATGGCCCATACAGGGACCAAACCCTTGATGTTATCAACACCATGCTCCAGTCAACTGAGCTAATCTCAGTGACTTGTTAATTTAGATTGTGATTTCACTAGAATTTGGCCTTTTTCATGTTTGTATAGTTCTGGCATACATAGAGCAGTAGATGGCAAGAAGAGTGATGGACATGTATTGGGATGCAGCTTCATTCTAGTAAGATTTTTTTGTACCCCAGTGAATAAGTTGTAATACCAAAAAAGTAGGATGCATGTGTTTTACATTGTAAACAATCTTTCCAATTGTTGTTTTCTAAAGAACAACTGATAGCACCTCTTGCTGTTGTTAGTAGTTCAAAACGTTATGCTAATGACTTTATAACTCACTATATTCTCTCACCTGCATTTGGATAGCTTGCTGCCTTTTCACTGTTTTTCCACCAAGGAATTTGAAGTGCTCCCAGTGAAATGCTGATGGAGTAAAACTTTGTAAAGTTCAGCTGGCTGTATCAGAATTGGACTGTGGTGAAAACCTGACCCTATTTTTGTTGAATTTATTGAGGTGAGGCAAAATTGGGAGTTAAATAGACGAGAGCTCCTGCCCTACATTTTTCATGCACAATTGTATATAGCAGGCACTGGAGCAGGAGGAAGAGGGTGGGCCCCTAGTTCTGCAGGACAAGTTAAGACAGATCTTAAACCCAGCTGTGCATCAAGAAACTTTGTAAAGAAACATCATGTCCAGCACAACAGGCAGGGAGAGGAGTGTGATGGGGGCTAAGGGTGTGTGGTTATTCTGTTGCAGATTCCCGGTGCACATAGAGGAGAAAGCTCTGAACACACTTGCCTATCTTTGCGATGGAGATGCCAGGACTGGGCTGAATGGACTCCAGCTGGCAGTTCAGGCCAGAGTAGCAGCGGGAAGGAACACTCCTTTGAACACCTCTGCCAAAGGTGGTGCTGCACATGGCATTCTGGTAACAGAAGAGCATGTAAAGGAGGGGCTCCAGCGGTCTCACATCCTGTATGACCGAGCAGGTGAGTAGCAGATGCAGTTTCTGAGATGCAATGTTCTCCAAATGTGATAGCTTCTCTAATTTCTCTTTCTTCTCCCTTTTTTGTACCAGCTGCTCTACTGAAACAGTGGTTGTACTGAAGTATGTCCCAAAAGTTACTTTTCCTCTACAGTGCAGTTCAGCTTGAAATTCCTTCTCAAGCAGGAAGTGTAGATTAGCTGAAAGACCCATTTGCTGTCCTGAGAACAGTTAGTTGCATGGTGAAATTATTTGTTATTTAAGGTCTATGAGGGAGGTTGGATATCTTCCATTGCACTTTTACTCCTTTGAAAGTCTTGGAAGTGCTCACATCCACAGCAATATGTTATGTGAAAACCTGAGTAGTTTGCTTTATTTTTAGAGTTGCTTCTTAAGGTAATGAATTCTGTAGCTTGCTTAGGGCAGGCCACATAAATCGCATTGCATTTAATACTTCCTAGAGTGATAACCACTCTTGCTAAATTTGTGACTTGGCAATCTTAGGCATCACAGTAGTTGGCCACTAAACCATTTTATGTTAGAGGGTTAAAGATCAGTGCATGTCAGATTAGGTGAATCCCCTTGAATGAATATGCTGGTTCTTCAGCAACACTTGAATGACTGTGCAGAATAGTATGAAATGATTATGCCAAGCAGTATTTGGAGAACTAATTTATTTTCTTTTTTATTTTTTTTTTGGGCCGCTGTTTCTGATATCTGCATTAACTGCCAGTGTTCAAAATCTGTGATGAGAGCTTTCTTGAGGCTGGTTATAACATATGCCCGCTTGTAGCCCTTCTTGCTACAAAGAAATAATGATGACTCACTGTCAGGAGAAAGGCAGCTGGGCAGATACTGATCTAATGGCAGCTGAGAAGTCAGGGGGGAGGGAGAAGAAACATTTTATGGGGTCTGTGGCAGGAAGAGGTCATGATTAGAAGGAAGTGGAAAATCTGACTGGTTCGCTGGTACGAGTCCCTTGCACAGTGTAGGGTCCCTTGTGTGTTTGCTGTCGCCTTGTGGCCGGTGTCACACAGAACTCTTGGCTGTGTCACCTTCTTGCTCTGGTAGAGATGGCACAGAGTGCCTCTTCCTGAGGCTTGCATCAAGTCTGGGTAGAGTGTGTCAGGCCCTTCTCTGTTTCAGTAATCTTTGTTGTGGTTTATTGTGGGGTTTTTGGTTAGAGATTTTCAGAATGGTGAAAGCAGTGAAGACTGTTTTTCTGGGTTGTATAAATGCCAGAAAGCCTGACACAGATATTGTCACAGTAGCAGGTTGCCCAAGTACATGTCTTTTCAGAATTTCTTCTGTGGAATGGTCTATGTTGACCACTGACTGTTGACAGCAGGTTTACCACTTTTATCCATAGTAGAGGTAGCTGTCTGTCCTAAATACAAAGGACTTTCAGATGGTGGCTACTGCATAAATTTTAATTTTTTTTGGTAGCATGTTTTAGCTAACACATTTTGAATCACAGCTGTGGTGATGGGATCTACAGTCCTCTAAAATAAAATGCTTCAGTCTTTTAAAGTGGAGGGTCTAATCATGATAGCAACAACATACATGTGTTGCATGTTCATGTAGAAAACACAAAATAGTTTATTAGTGTTCAAAGTGTAAATATGGACTTTTTATTTTACATTCTTTTTTGTTAACCTTCTGCAGAATTTGCCAAATACATGTAATTCGGCATTCTCTTCTGTATTTTCATCAAGTAATCTAGGAAAGAAATCATTCATAATGCAGTTGTTAGGCTGTTGTTCTAATCTATGTGCAGACATGTAAAGAAAAGGTCTTTGTGCAGATAGTTTATGCATTTTAGCTGGAAGGACAAAGAAACAACTTTAATCAAATTTCACTGCCAGCAGCTGCCTGAAGCCCTTGCAGTTGGAGAGGAAACAAAAACTGTTAGTCATATTTTAGCTTTTAATTGCAGTTGTTAAAATTTTGATCCTTTTAGAAAAGTGATCTAGCTACCAAATTCATTGAAGTTTACCAGCAGATGGGCAGTGACTAGATCTTTTAAATAGAGTTGTACTGTTGCCCCTTCCTTTTACAAATTGTATCACTTTGCTAGCACTGATTTAATAAGATAAATCTAATTTCACTGCCTGTGTGGTGACATAACTTCATGTATGGTAAAGACTGGGAATGTGTTATGCTGAAGTTAATTTATTCTGCAGTCTGGAACACAGTTTTTCCTTTACCTTCTCAGGAGGAGAAAAGAGAAGGCATCTCACTCTCCTGGGTTTGCTATCAGGGCAGAGCTTAGAGCCATGTGGACAGGAATAAGTTGCTATTCCATACCGTGCATATCATTGCTGGGGTAGGGGAGGGGCTTATTTGGAGTTGGATTCCCAACTGATGTTAAATCGCCACACTCACACCATAATGTTTTTTTCCAGCTCAGTTTTTTTTCTGCTGGATCAGAATGAGAAGTCTTCTCATCCATGCTGTTGGTCTACTCTTACTTCCAGGGCTTTCTTCTTTCCTTTATCAGTGAGCAGTTTGATGTTTACCTTTGCCTAAGATAGAATATAATTTGAGATGGGGACTGATTTTAGTTTTGCCCACTGCTTTGTGAATAGAAATTGTTTAAGAAGCTCAAATATTAATTATGGTCAGTGAACAAGACTTTTTCCTATATCTTCTACCAATATGACTTGAGTTAAATCAGCATCTTAAACTAGCATGAAAACTCCTCATGAGCACATAAAGCAATCTGTGTGCATATGTCAACAAGATTTATATATCTGTATATGTCAGACACTAGAAAAGCCCTCTCTTCCACAAAGCCTCTTGTGCAGTGTCTTGTTTCAGAGAGGTATTTGCCTTTGTGGGAACTGCACAGAGAAAATTTATTTTGATTCCAAAAATTCTTCATAGTTTTGATTTCAAGAGGCATCTGAGATACAGCAGAGATAGATAAACTGGTATGTGTCTGTCTCTCAACTGAATTGATAAGGCCCATACCTATATGTTAGCTAACCTGCATGAGAAGGCTAATAAATAAAAGTCTACTAAAAGTTCTAGGTTTCTTTAAGCTGCTTTTGGTATCTCAGGCTATCTGTAAACTGTATTTTTAGACAGTTTAGAAATGTAATTTTAGACATTTTAGAAATGAAAGATCTCTCTCCAATGCACATCACTGTATTTTGTCTTTAATTGATAGTGCAACATGACTATACTGAAGTATTGTCATTGTAGCTCTGTCACTAACATGAACTTTGTAAGGAAGGAAATAAAAAGCAAAAACTAATTCCCTTCTCAGCCTGAAGTCTGAAGTTCCCTGCAGGTTTATATATCTAGACCAAACCTATCTGCTGGATTCCTTCTGCCTCTCCAGCTGATATCCTCACATATGACACTTTACAGTAGCCCAAACAGCACATAAAAGCCTCCAGCAGAAAACTCTGGATGAGTGCAACCTCTGGAGATATTTAAAGGCCATCTTCCTTACTTTTAAGAGACCAAGAGACGCCTCTTGCAAGAGGATGATGCGAGTTCAGCTGCTCGGGGTTACTGCTCCTGACTCAAGTGTTTTGGTGGAGCACGGACGTGCTGTTTGTGTTGGCTCCAGTGAGGGCTGCATACCAGGGCTCTTTGTGTGGAGTCCTAGCAAAAATAGCTGTCTGACTGCCTGTGCTCACCAGCAGCCTGTTGAATTCCCCACAGAATCACACTCCAGCAGGAGCAGAGATGGGGGCAATGGACCTGGGAGGTGGAGATCTTGCTGGCTACAAAAGGAACAACTACAGCAGCATGGTGATTTTGGTTCCCAAACTCACTCAGGCAGCCCTTTTATTTTTCAGGGCCTACAAGTCACTGGTGTGTTCTGATTTGGCCGTCAGGCTGTAAATCCTTTTAGCCTTAGGAAGAAGAGGAATATTAACAGATGGCTGTGCATGCAGCTAGTTGCCTTTAAAACACATACTTAGCTGTGAGCCAAGGAATGCCAGGCACTTGAAAAAATAAAAAAGGCAGATAACATGGAAAGTTTAACAATATTGCAGCAAAAGACTCTTACAAATTTGATTAAAAGACATGCATAAGAATCAAAACCAGTTGAACAGAGGAAAATTGTAAGCAGGAAGGGTCTCATTCAGTGTTTGTAATACTGACTCCCTATTTTTAAGTGTAGCCCTAGAAGATCTGTGGAATAGCTCTGTTTCTCCTTGGAGTCCAAATCTAATCATAAATTAAGCTTAAATATTTTAAAAAAAAATCCTTGTATTTCTTTCAGTCTTCCCACTTTTTACTTAGAAGCCTGGCATTTCAAGTGTTGCAATAGGGCAAGTGTCCACACACTTGAACTCAGCATTTCTTAGGGGTTTGGCAGGGTTGTGCACTGCAATTCTGTTTTTTCTAAATTGTATGATGTTCCATCATTGTATATCCATGGCATTTCCTTTTTTCTCACCCCTATACAGCACATCAAACTCGTGTTTTACTGCGCACTTCATTTTCAAGTTTTAGATTATATGAAATTGTTGTTTTTCTAAAATATCACTACTGTATTACTGTATCCAGTGCTATCTTGTATCTCTGGATTTCTCTGATTCTTGTGTTGTCTTCTCAGAGCTCTGTGTGTGTCCAAAAGCAATGATCAGTTATTTGTATGTGCTTGTACTTTTTGGCAATTACAAACTATTTATGTAGAGTTTTCTTCCTAACTGCTTAAGAAATCTGGGGTTATCTTTTTTTTTTTCTTTTGAAGGGAAGGCAGTTAGCTTACAAAACCCAAATTGTTTGCCTAACAATATTAAAAAAAAAAAAACATACAACTTCCTTTTCATCAGTAGTTGCTCTGATTTGCTTATGTAGTTAGGGAATGATTCACATGGGAAACTATGAAGGCCCTGAAAACAATAATGAATGCTGTAACCACATATCCCTAAAAAGAGCTTGAAAAAGCAGCTTATGTTTACAGATGTAATCTAGTAAAATATATTCTGTTCCCTTAAATGCATTTCAGTTAATTTCCTCCTAACAGCTTTGTGTATTGCTTCTCCCCCATCCATGAACAGGAGAAGAACATTACAACTGCATCTCTGCCCTGCACAAGTCTATGAGAGGCTCTGATGAAAATGCTTCCCTTTACTGGCTTGCTCGAATGCTTGAGGGCGGTGAGGATCCACTCTATGTGGCAAGGAGGCTGGTGAGGTTTGCAAGTGAAGATATAGGTCAGTATTTGCAGTATTTCACATGGGAAAATCATGTTGAATGAAGATCTGCCAGGCTTCTCTGGTTTCTAAAAGTTGGCTTCTGAAAAACAAATGCAAAATATGCAGAATAGGTACAAAATACTGAAATGCTGCACGTGGCATAAAAACTTTGTATATGCAGGCAGAGACCTACATGAGGTGTCATTGTGATGATTACCTATTTCAGGAAAGACAAATGTTTTTGAGGTCAGGGTTGGTGTGTATTAATATGGATTCTTTTAAGCCCTGCTGATTGTAGGTCACCGGTAAGCTTGTGCCACAGAGAGTGTGTATTTCAGGGATGTCTGATTTTCTGATAAGTTTTCTAATAAGTTCTGGCACATGAATACCTACCCTGACCTGCATTCCTTAGGTTTGATAGCTATAAGGCATCTTTATTTACTTATCCAAAGTAGCAGATCCAGGAACACTTTTAGTACGTATGTGCTAGGTGAAGAGTTAGGAGACCTGGAAAGCTATGTCTGTATATTTCCCCATTTCTTTATTAACCTCAAAAGGTAGGAGAATCATTTGTGGTCAACTACTGCTCAGGCTACCACTGTGTGTGGCAGTAGATTCAGTCTAAATCGTACACACAGCTCACACAGCTTAGACTTCTTTTTTCCTTTTTCTTTTTTTTCCTTTTTTTCTTTTTTTTTTTTTTTTTTTTTTGTGGGAGGAGGAAAGCTTGTAGATGGAGGGAGTGGATCGTATGTATGATTTGGTATTGTACCAGGAATTCCAATACCTGAGAAAGCAGCTCTGAAATGTGCATGGATACCTTACAGGAAAGGGAAAAAAGAGTTTTTTTTAAAAAAAGACATTAAGTGAAGTAAATTGACTTTAACCTGCTTTTATCTGATTCCTTTCTGTAGGACTGGCAGATCCTCTGGCTTTAACACAAGCAGTTGCTGCTTATCAAGGCTGTCACTTCATTGGAATGCCTGAGTGTGAGGTAAATGCTTCATTAATTCACTGATTTGAAAGTTCTGCAATCTGTAAAACCTATCTGTAACTATAAAAAGAAGCAGATTGCAAGGACAGGGCAGACTTAGTTACTTGTTCATTCTGCATGTCCCTTCTTTGACAAGAGAACATTGTAGTTCTTAAAATAGATGCTGTAGTTTAAAAAGAAGTCACTGCATGAACATATATAATTTTTCTGGTTTTTTATGATAGATAAAGTAGCTATTATTTTCTAGTAGTGAAAACCATGGAGCTATGGTACTGTTAAATAATTCATATTGTTTTAAGTATTCATATTATAGTAGCAGGCAGAGGTCGGTTTAAAAACAATCCCTGCCATGCTGTACAACCAACCTGAATAGCAGGCCTTTTCCCAAAGAGCTTAAAAGAAGTCATTTAACATTTCCCTCTGCTTGTTTGCAGGTGATTCTAGCACAGTGTGTAGTGTACTTTGCCAGAGCCCCAAAGTCTATAGAGGTGTACAGGGCATATGGCAATGTCAAGGAATGCCTGAGGATGCACACAGGACCACTGCCCCCTGTTCCCCTGCACCTGAGAAATGCCCCAACAAGGCTCATGAAGAACTTGGGCTATGGAAAAGGCTACAAATACAACCCCATGTACAAGGAACCTGTGGAGCAGGACTATCTGCCAGAAGAGTTGAAAGGAACAGACTTCTTCAAGGAACGAAAAACATGACTGCTGTGCTCAGAATGGGTTTTGATTTTATGACTCATACATTTCCACTGGGATCAAAATTCCCCTTACAGTGTCAGCTGCCTGTTACCCTGGTTGAAAGGATTAAGCCACCAAGCCTTCCAGATACTTTTTTATCCTTCTGCTTTTATTGCTGTTGTTCAGAAGGTATTTTACAAATGATTACAGTTAGGCAGTGTAGACATGCAAAAATAAGCTTTATCCTATATAGTGCTGTCACTGGTTTAAATGAAATTAAGGAAAAAACAAGAGACTTGTGTTGCTGGCTCTTGCTGTGAGACAAGAAATATTACTGTGCTGCTTTTTAAAATCAGTGTCTATTTCAGATTTTGAGAACATTATTTTCCAGAAAAATAGTAAATTGTACCCCCTCAGCTAAAGTACTGTACAAAATATAATTACAGAGTAATTTTTGCTGTTATGATCTTTCAGAGACCAATTTTGTATGACAGTTATTGAACCAATAAAGCTGTTACAAATACTGTCTATGCATTTGTTTAAATAGTCCTATGACAGCAGTGTGGTTTTCAAAGTTTGATCTCCCTTTAATTTTATTATCCCTTCTTTCCAGAGCAAGTTTCATTCATTTTGTAAGCAGAATAGTCATGAAAATGACCACTGGAGTGATACTGAGCTCTTTGCACCTCTCTCCAGCTGTGATATGACCCAGCCACCTGCAGGTCAGCTGTCTGGACCACATCAGTTACAGGTGAGTATTTCTTGACAGCAGAGGTACTTGTGCTGTGTGGGGTTTAGATCAGAGGGATTGCCACAGCCACGTGTCTGGAGCTCATTCAGAGCAATGTTCACAAGCCAGGAGGTCTGTGGGCTGAGAATGCAGTGCCAAGTCCAGAAGCCAACTTTATTCTGCTTATTGCTCTTAATTCTCAAGACAGATTGTTGTCCCTTGGCCTTGATCAAAAGTTTTGGATATACAGCCTCCAAAACTTTGTCATTTGTATTGGAGATGAATTTTTTTGTGAGACTCCCTTCATACGAAGTTCTGCATGATGTAGGAGTGAAGCCAAAGATCCTGATGTAATTGAAATGTTTCAGAAATGGAACCTTTTGCATGACTGTGTATTGTCAGAGGGTTTCACTCATATTCTTTAAACATTTCTATGTTCTCCTACCTTAAATAAGTAGTTTCTGAATGGGCAAAATGTTGCTCTAAAGACAAGCAAGTATTTCAACAAGCTTTATTTATGTACATTTGCATGCTTTTCTTTTTAACACAATTCACTTTGTTGTTGTTTGGTTGGAACTTGCTTGTTGCATAAATTAAGGGGGTAATTAATTAGATTCATATTTTTATCCTAATGGTCCTCTGAAATGCCTTTGGAGGAATAAAGCAAGGTGTGGTCATTTCCAATGCTGAACCAGCATGTGCTCACCTTCAGAGGGCAGCACAGGTTGGCAAAGGGTTCAGACGTGGTGCTTCATTCCTCAGCCTCCAATGGAGGCAGAAATAGTGCTCCTCCGGTCAGATCCATCAGACAGTGCTGTTTAATTGGCTACCAAACGACTGGTAACAAGAAGTTAATGTTGCAAAGCCATCGTGTCACATGGCTGCTCTTCAAGCCAAGGATTATTTGCCTTTTCCCTTCCTCCCTGTGGTAATTAGCAGCACTGGAGAGTGGCTGCTTCCTGCTCTCTCCCTGCTGCTGATGTGCATCTCTTTTATATCCCCTCATGGAGGGTAATCTCCTCTCTTTGAAGAACTCCATACTCCATTAGAAAGTCCATCAGGACCAGATGTACTCAGAGGTGGACATCTCCCATCCCTCCAAAACAGACCCAAGGCAAAAACATCCATTTCCTCTCTCAGCAATTTATGCAGTCTCCACACAGGATTGGCAATGCTGCTTTCAACAAGCAGAAGCCAATCTAGTGAAACTGCCAATCTAGTGAAACTGCTTCAAAAGCACAGGATGAAAGAATGAAATCAAAAAATCATGGAGTACATTTTCTTTTGTGTTTTCTGGCTTTTGACTACCTGAAGTTTACCCTGAGAAGCTTGCTGAAGGGCAGAAATGGTTATGAATTGCATGCTGGTATAGTGGTGTATTTATTTACTCTTCAGAGTGTAGAGTTTAAGGAAATACCAAACATTGCAGTATCACTAGAAAATTTGGATTCCATCAGGTAATGCTTGCTTCTGCTGTGAGGAACACCATCAAAATCCATCATGCCATGGTCTCTTTTTCTCTTACATAAGTTGTGCCACTAAGAAATAATGTAGATCATGAGAAAGGCCATGCCATAGCTATTCCATGTTGGGGAATTCAGTACTCTGAGAAACAAATTGTACTGATGTAAGTTGTTTCGTCCAGTAGTAACATGCTCATGTGAGAGATATGGATAACCACAACAGAAATATCAATTAAATAATTCCCCAAATTAGTTCCATTGCAAGATTCTTTTAGAAAATTACCCAATGAATATTGTTTCCAGCATTTAGCTTGTTTGACTCTCGCAGATAAAAATTTGGATGATACAGCTGGCAAGGAGTTGTTTTATACTAAATATTTATGTGAAATCATTACTTGAATTTTATTTTTCTTGTCCTGTTTTCTCTGCACAAAAAGTTGAAACCCTCAGTTTAACCTCTGGGCTGTATTTTTTCCCTTTTCTGCGAGCATTTTCTCTCATGTTGAGAGAAAAGCACTTGACCAAAATGACTGCATACCATTTTCCATGAAATTACTTATACGTGTTTATACAAACTGGTTTTTTGAATTCCCATCTATCCTGAAGATACATTTTCTGGCTGCTGTGATGAGTTCATTATCTGAATTGCCAGCAGCTACCCTGCATCTTTAGCATGTTTCCAGACAGGCTGTGCTCTCCAGGATTTTGGCTGTGCTTTTTGTCTTTTATTGTACTAAGTAGTCTGGGATTGCGTAGGCCTCTTAATGAATGTGGCTAACAGCCTGCATTTAGATGGTACCACAAGATAATGTGACAGAACTAGCGGTTCACTACAGTAAAAAAAAAAAAAAAAAAGAAACTCAAAAAAAAATTAACAAAAAAAGAAGGAAACCCAAAGCAAAAGTGAGGTTCTGATTTCAATTGTACCTTTTTATCTCAATAGGTGCAAGAGAACTGGACTGGTCTTATTTCTGTAATAAACCATAGTAAATCAACTCAACCATCCATCTCCAAGACTTGATCATGTTTATGAACTTTACAAGGATTTTGGTCATATGTAGACGTGTACATACATTTAACAGCAAAAGTATAGTTACACATGCTCTGAGTTAACTCATGCAGAGATAACTGTCTCTTCCTTATCTACATTATGGTATGCACTTCCTAGGATGAGCAATTTAAACTATATGAATCAGACAAAAAGCAGACAATTGGTGGTGGGTGGTGGTGGTTTTTCTGTTTAAATGACAAAACCAAAGGGCTTTCCTAGGAAGTCTGTTAGCAGAAGTTCAAAGTCTGGATTACTCATCACAGCACAGTGAACAAATATTTCTCAGAGTTTTGTCTTGTTATATAACGGCTAGTCTGCTTGGGAGAGGCCAAAATGGAGGGGGAAATACAACTACTGTAATCCTCTGTTTCACTGGAAGAAACTCACATGTTGTCTACTCAAACCAGCAGCCTGTTGCATATTGGTTTTGAACAGGAAAGTACTCAACGTGCTCAAGAATTTAGCAATTCCCTCCTACGAAGTTTAACTGCAGTCAGGCTGACTTTTTAATGTTGCATTCCTAAGGGTAATATAAACCAAAGATTTTGCAAGCAGAATTTTTTTTATGTGGTGCTTGTGAATTTATGACTGCTGCTTTGCTAAGACTAAAGCTAAGTTCCTGATTTTATATTGAGACTTCTGATGTTTCAATCTCTCATCTTGTATCTCTTTAACTCATTAAAATTACATTTTCTACCATTCTACTCAGTTAAAATATCTTCTCAAAATTACCCTGCTTTGAACTTAGTGAGGCCTGTGTTCATTCAGTACTTCTACTAACAAAATCCTTCTCAAGAGGATAGTTGAAGCAGCTTATTATTATTTAGAAATGTGAATACAAATAGCATGCTGGTTTTCTCTGTTGAAGTCAGCCCTTGTCAGTCATTTGTTCTGACAAGAGCAAAGGACAAAAAAACCATGGAGTATTAAGGAAAAATACAACTATCTTACTTTGAGACATAAATTATGGGAGGGGAATATTGGCCGGTAGGGTTGCTGGGTTTTTTGAAATGGTTCAGTGTGAAGCTGATTTTATTGAGATTCTTATTGCTGAAATTTTGTTTTGTGCACCCTGTCTGTAGAAAACCAGACTTGTTTTAATGTAATTGAGTTACAGTTCAGTTACTGAATGCTGATACCAACACAATAAATACAGACAGACATCAATCTCCTCATAAAGCTGATTTGTACTATTATGCAAGGTTTTATCTTTCTTCTGATTTCCTGGTAATTGCTGCCCTAAAAGCCTTCAGTCATTTATCTTGCACACCTTGACTGAGTTTGTGCAAATAAAGATAAGGATGTAATTAAAATGGAGTTTTTGAGCCTTGCTTTGGCAAACCCCGTCTACAGCAGCAGCAGCTTTTTTTGCTAAAATGCTGAAACAAAGCCCAGAAACTCAGAACCAACACAACATCAAAGTGTTCCAAATTCTTGCATGGGTTTTGTGCTAGTATTTTTTGTTTGCAAGGCATTGGGTTTTCAAAGCAGTGGGTGCAGAGAGTATTGCATTCACCACTGCAGGCTGCAATACACACTCTCCTCTGCAAACCTACCAGAGCCTTTGCAACCAGGTATTGCAGACCAAGATCTTGTGCCATTTCATAAAACCATGACTCTCCCTGTTCCCCGTGGGGGTGAGCAGCTCAGCTTACACTTCCAGGGGAAGCTGCTGGTTCATGCAATCATCTCTTCTATTGAGTAATTTGGTTTTCAATATTTTCACCTAATCTGAACTTCAGACAGCCGGTCACACCAGCTGTGCCAGTGGTTTTCTGTGGCTCTACTCATCACACAGTTATTTTGGTACTCTGAAATACTAAATCGCATGCAAAAAAATTGCCATTTTGAACAAAAGTTTAGGTTAAAGACTTTTATTTGTTGCTTAAAGACAAGATTAAAATACAGTTTGCAATTACATAAAAACTATTGTGCCCCATTCAGAGCTGAGGTTGTCCAGGTAAATGTTACAGTACCCAAGATACAAGCAAATAACCTCCAAAAAACACGGAACATGACAGTATGAAATTGGCTACCAAGAATACAGTAACAGAGGTTTCTGCATAAAGAGGTGGTGGAAGTCAGCTCAGTAAATGTAGAATCCTTGTACATAAAGAGAAACATCAGATATTTCTTGCAGATCCTCCTCTGGGAAGCTGAAGTATCTTTTGGGAATGACAGAGGTACTGGCCGGAATCTGATGTCATATTGGCAGTTTCTGAACTTTCAAAAAGGCACCTAAAACCTCTAATCCCTGAAACATTTTAATATTTAATTTAAATTTTAAAAATCCTCTTTAACCACATCACCTAAAGTCTTACTCATTTTTTCATTCTCATTCAAAAGCTGTATTGCAGTTTTTCTGGCTACTAGCTTCAAGGGGTTACTTTTGTTTAAATAGCTTAATCCATTCTCTATTAATAGACGTCTCTAAACAAATGTTATCTGACCTTCTATTTCATGACAGAACTGGGTATACCCAGCTGTTTGAGACATGCCTTTTGGTGCCTAGAATGATTTTATTACAGTATTTTTGTAAAGCAAGATTTTAGGGAAGGGATAGCTCTGCAAGAACAACCTAGTATTTATGCATAAGGAGTGACTGGATTATTAAGGAGTGACTGGTTATCGCAATGGGGAGCTGTGCGCTTCTTCCAAGAAAATTTGTTTCTACTCCAAGATTTTCCTTGTTCAATTAAAGATTATGTCAATCTCCAGAAAGAAAAATAAATTACTCCTCATTTTCTCTGAGGCTGTTTAAATGGAAAGGCAGAATCTCAGTCAAATTACTAGGAACTCACAACAGGAGGATTAACTTGTTCAGGAACAAAACTTTCATTAACAACAGCGGGAACTGCTGCAAATGCTAAGTTTTCTTTTATGGGGAAGCATATCTGCCCAAGAAAAGTATGCTTTGTGTTGGGTTGTGGCGAATAAAGAAAAGGAAAGGGTGGTCAGCGTTGAAATCCTCTTCTATGGCCATGCAGAGCATAGCAATGCCAGCAGTGGCAGCTGCAGCTTCCGTGCCTTCCTCATTCACTTCCACAAAAGCCTTGTGGACAACTGCAGAGAGGAAGAGGTCACGTGCCCCCGACATTCCCGACAGGTCAGCCTTGCCACTGTCAAATACATCCAGCAAGCCCATAGCAGCTAAATCTGATTTAAGGTCATAGCTTTCCTCCAGCTTAAACTTTGGCAAATGCACGTGAACATCAGCGGAATACAGATGCTCCGGGCGTGTCCATTCCTGGAGCTTCTCTAAGGTAAGCTGCTTTTCCATCTAGAATTAAAAGGACAGAGAGTATTACTTATCACCAGTGCAGTATTTCAGTTTCAGTAACATTTATGAGGCTTTATTTATAGAACATTATACGAGGGTAAAGCAGCTATGCAAAAATGAACATATGCATATCTTTGATAGCCAAACAGGGATTAAGCAAATACTATTCAAATTAGGTGAAGTCAGTGCAGTTTTTACTTTACAAAGTAAGGCAGACATTTGCTTCTTGCTGCAGTGTACAGAAGGGAAAATCATGCACTGATAGCAAGCCAATCTTCTTACTGTTTCATCTAACTAAATGGAATTACCTAATTAAAAACAAGTAACAAAAATCATAATCAGAAAGCTCAAAGAAACTGGTCATTTAATGAAAAACAGTCTCACTACTTCATGGTTAAAAAAAGGAAGTCTTTCAAAGCTACTGAAAGACAGCCATTAAAAACAAACAAACGAGGCAAGGTAATTCTCACAGTTAACTCTGTTTTCAGTCTCCACCATGGTTCATTCAGTTCAGCAGAGGACACATGAACACAAGCTACAAAATTAGAACACAACCTCTCTTCCTGATGCAGTACATCCATTTATTCTTTATTGCTGTACTAGTAGAGAGTTGTCTAAAAATACACCAGATAGATCTGGTGCCCTGAGAACATGGGTTCACTAAGGCTTTCATTTTGAATGGGCAAATTTAAAAATATTGAACAACTGCATTGGCTTAGATGGGTCACCTTCTGCAGTCCAGTGGAGTCCTCTTCAGTGTCATCAGGTAACAGGATGATCATACTGAGTTCTCTTCCATCATAAGGCAGCTCTAAAACACGGATCTTCTCTTCAGGGATGTATCCAAAATTAAATTTTTTTTTCTGATACATCATTTTTACTGTCCTTCTTTCATTCTGGATGGATAAAAGGCATAACAGTTGAGGAAATACTCATTTAAACAACCAATAGAAGACAAGTAAGTTAAAATTGCATTTATGTAAACACTTATCCTCCTTTATAAAACTTTCTTCAAACTTCTGACTGCCTGTTTAATAACAATTTCTTCTGAAGAAATAATGAGTTCGTATTATATTGGTTCTCCTCTGGCTTCTATAGCACAGTCCTCACAGAAACTGAAACAGTTTCTTCAGACTGTTGTACAAAAATTTTAAGCCAACAAAGATCAACTCTGTTTAGCATAAAGCACATGAACTGCATACAGTAACTTGCAAAGCTGTTAACATAAGCAGAATATAGAACAAGAAGATGGGGCTTAATCAAAATGTCCTGTCATTTTAAGACTGCTTACCTATCATCACAGACACAGTTCGTAGCTGCTGATCTGCTGCAGACAGAAAGCCTGCTAGATCCTAAACCACAGGTGAGAATTGTCTCTAACACTTTCTTGAGAGACAACAAATAGCTTGCTGCATATGGAAAAATACTACAATCCATAAAAAATAATTATAATATTAATAAATTACTTTGTATTTTTAAAATATTTCATTTGCAAGCAATGCTTCATATTACCACCTATATTATTAGACCTTTTCATTAGATATGTCCTATCAGGATGTATCTGTATTACCTTATTTAATCGAAATGGTGCATCAGTGGTGTCAGCTTCTTGAAATTTCTCTGCCCAGTTTGCTTTGAAATAAATAGCATTCACCAGTACCAGCTTGGTCATGCTATCAACTGAACCTTCAGCCAGCAGATCGGGGATTTTGCCTTCAGAAGCAGCAGAAAAAAGGGTCACAACAGAATCATGGAGTAAGTTGATGGCATATAAAATATACATTGAGAAATGGATGCCATAGAAATACTACAAATATAAAACCAATCCTGTAAAAATGTGTATTTCAGTACCTGTCTCGCTACTTCACCATACTTTTTCTTAACACACACTACTATAGCTTTTGATATACAGTGATTTGATGAAAACATAATATTGTTAGTCTAAACTGTCACATGCAACTCATCTACTCCTCATACAAGAGCTACAGAATGCCCACATTAAGGAATACTGAATTTAGAAATACATATACAATATATATATGGATCAAGACAGACTAAGACAAATTCTCCAACTCATGTGTACATCTCCATGTTTAGCCATCTCTCCTGCATTCATGGCCTGAACACAAAAACAGAATGGAAAACTCTCAGGACTTATGGAACTGTTTAAATGTCTTGCTTAGATAATTCCTGGTTCTGTCCATGCATCAAATAAGTGTCCCAGGGCAGAATTAAACTGTTTGAAAGACAGCAGAGAATAAAGCTCATTCCTTCTCCCAGTACATCAAACCCTGCCAGTTATTAGCAAAAAATTAATTTACCTTCCGTTTTCTCCTCAACCCACTGGTTAATTCCTTTCCTGGCTTTATCACAAGCCTGAAGAAAATCAACTGTAGCCAAGTCAGCTCCATATAATTTCCGTGTATTAGTCAGGAAATCCTAGATTTTGGAACGATAAGAATAGCTTTCACTGCATGCAGATTAGAAAACATCTAATTACTACGTAGATAAGGTGTACTCAGATTGTCACCGACTCTGAGGTGGGCTTCTAACAGTGTGTTGCTTGGGGGAATTCTGAAGTTAACAGGTTTTTTCCCCACTCTTAGAACAAGCCTCACAGTACAGCAGCCATGTCTAGAGCTGATAAGCACCATGTGGTGCTTACTACAGGTGTTGCAATATTTACCTATCATTGTCCTGAAACAGGCTCAAGCACAACTGGGATAAAACAAAACTTTCCAAAACAGCTGAAGAGGGACAAAAATATCAGACAAAGTCATAATTCACTGGCAAAGAGGCATGTTGTTAAAACATATTGGAGATCTCCTCCCAAATAAATAGTGTTTTCAAAAAGATGGAAGTTATGTGGTACTGCTACGATGAAAATCCTTAAAAGCTGATTGCAACAGGAACAGAACTGGCTGCAACCTAAAAAGCTGGTTGCAACAGAGTGGGATGTCATGATAGTTACTGTAAACTAAGAATATAGACCAGTGATTCTTCTCTTGAGGACAAGAACAGCAGAAGTGAACAGGAACAGAAAAGGGTTTACTGTGTTACACCCTTCAGGTGAGAGGCACAGAGGCTCACAGCTATGGAAATGCACACAGCAAGTATTAAGCACTTTTGTCAACTTTCCAGAAAAATTTAGAAATAGGCTTGGAAATAGTTCTACTTTATAAATACTCAAGTAGCTGCACTTTCCCAGCACATGCCATCCTGATGTGCACCACTGTACCTGCAGAAAGCTGTAGGACTTCTCTCCAAAGAGCCGACTGGCCAGCCGTAAGAGATAGGGAGCATTGCTTCTGTTTATGTCTGCTGTCAGAGCCTGGAATCCTGAATGAACATCTTCAACTTTGTCAAGGTGAAGCGTCTGAAATAAAAAGAAACGAACTAACAGCTATTAATACTGTCTTAAAAGAGCATACTGTCAATCTGTAGGGTAGGCCTGATGCAGCAGGGTAGGATCCAGTAGGTAGGCTGAAGAAAGAGAAAATAAAAGCTGGAAGCTGTGAAGAGACTCCTGTAAATCTCAAAGAATGAGTCAAACTGTCCCTCGGTGCTGCACTGCCAATGTCAGCCACTTGTATTGTGATCCTGGTTTATACACAGTCACAGCTCAAGCTCTTGATCACAACCCCAAGTCCTGCCTGCATTTCTGTGGGCCTCTCCTCTGTAGGCTCAAGAACTCGTTCCCAGGTGAGGAATCAAAAAGAGAGATGATGCCATGGAGACTCTTCTGCTTTCTTGGTTGGCCCAAGGGGATGTGGAGTTGTATATTTTCACAATATACAATCATCACTACCACAGGTGAGGTATTAAGAAAACTTAGAGCAATTATCTTTTATAATTTTATGAAAATACAACTCCATAAATATATATACACTTCATATATACTTTATATATATATAAAAGTAAGTATTAGGTTTAAGATCAAATGTATTACTGCAATATCTCTTTATCAGTACCTTCTCTTCCAGAGGCAAGCTGGCTGGCCAGGGCTTAAAGATATGACAGCAGAAGCTGCCAGACCTCATGGACAGGGATGGCTACACCAAAGCAGGGACATTCATATTCAAACTTAAACCATGCGTTTTCCAGTAGGGAAGACTGCTGTGAAGGAGTGATTGGATTCAAAGAAAAGCCTTCTCTTTCTCTCACTGAGTTTTTGGTCAGGCTTTGCCAACCACCTCAGCACAAGCTGTGCTGTACAGGTGCATGGCTGAGCAAGAACAACACAGGCAATACAATAGAATTATGATCCCGGAAACAAATTTTTTTGTCCCTGCAAACAGCTCTTGACAATTGCTAATCACTCCCTCTTTAATTAGCACTGTGTTCATAAGTGAAGTATTGTGGTACAGAAACATGCCCTGTCGAGGATGACTGGGTTGAAAGACATTTATTTTCCCCCCAAGTTCCTTTTGCATGATTCGTGCCATCAGTAGGTTTATCCTAGGTGGGGCTGTCAGTCTGATTACATGAAATATGTTCAAAGTCTGTTTGAACAAGTAGTGAGGAAGTAATTCTATTGAGTAAGCCCAGCAATACTCAACAGAATAAAACAGTCCCTCCTAAAGTCCAGAATACAAAGGTGAAATTATTCATAGGCAAATGCATGAGGATGACTGCAATGAGGAGACTCCCACACCTTTTTGCAGGCATTAGCCTTACGAGGGTGCAAAAATAACAGTGACTGAGTCCCTTTCATGACAGAGGTTTCAGGGGAACCTGGCATATGCCTATGTGCACCATTTTTACAATTTATAAGTTTTTTTCAAACTATCCTACCTACCCTAAAGCTATGGTAAGGGTAACCATGCAGACTTAGCTCCTTCTAGATATCTGAGTGCCTGTTAAGTAAGAGATTGGCACTTAGGTAGCATCACCATGTATCATCATAGCTTTAGATATAAAATTATAGAATGCTACTGTGTTTTTTACAAAAACACACAGAACTATTGAAATTGAACATACCATTGGTGATCTTGGGTTATGAAGTAATAGTCTGTCAAAATGTCTCATGAAAACTCATAGAGCCTTGCTGCTGGAAATTATGATCAATTTAAAAGGAGACTGACTAATGTAATTAGTCTCCTCTGTCAAGAATTAACTACTGAAATTAAATAACAAGGGCAATAGAAAATATATACAGAGGGCTCTGGAGCAGGGTAGGCAGAGAGTAACTAGCTGCTGAGTCTGAGGAAAACTGAGTGTGCATGACAGAAATCTTGTCCTGAACAAAAACACCCTCAGTTCATCTTCCCTCCTCTAAAACACAACCCTTTTTAATGTAAATAAAATAAAAAATTAATGGCCATTTTATTTTAACTAACCTTCAACACCTGGGCTTCTGTATTACCTTTGGCCCCCAAAAGGACCATGGCCAGAGCAGCAGAGATACTGACAGGAGAAAAGAAGACATTTCCCGTTGGGTTGGCCTCACTAAACCTTCTGAGCAGATCAAGTGCAAATCTACTGTTGGCAGTGGACAGGTTCTCCATGGTTTTAGCTGAAAAATAAAACAGTTGATAAGGACCCTGGGAAACATTCTTCAAACACCTTGTCTAACCTTGTGTGACTCACAGAGTAAAGACTGGAATGAACTGGATGCAGCTGCTTACAGAAACAGCAAGAATATCGTCATCAGTGCACCTTATTCTTAAAAAAAATCAGTCACACTGAAAAATGTGCTTGGGGAGAAAAATGTGAAAGGGGATTTTTTTCCATGCTAATTGTTTGCTCCAACCTTCCTTAACATACTAACTTTATAGACATTATTTTCTAAAAATTCCTTTCCTGCAGACCTGAAATTGGAAGTGTATGTGCTGGTAGGGTTGCAAACGCCCCTCAGCCTCACTGACCCAGCACAGGCCAGGGCTCTCCCTCCTGCAGCATTCCCTCTGCTCCTCTACAACGCACAGAGGACATTCAAAGTATCTGCTCAGGAACGTGCAGACACCTCTCAGTAACCCGCCTGCCTTCATGCCACAAATCCATGTCCCTGAGCGGTGTCAACCCTGCCAAAGGCTTCCGTGCCCGCTGACTTTCAGCAGTGTAGAGCAGAACACCGCTGTACCCCGCCCGCGCTGCCAGGAGCACGGAGCTGCCTGCCCGCCGCACCCAGGACCGCCGGGGCTGGGCGGCCCTCAAGGCTCGGGCAGGGAGCCCGGGTCCCGGGGGCTGCAGGTGACCCCCCGACCGGCGGGGGGGACCCGAGCGAAGCGCAGAACAGGCGAAGCGGCAGGGCTGGCTGGCACTGAGCAGCGATGCGGTTTTGGGAGATGCTCGGGAGCAGGCTGAAAGGCGCAAGGGCCGGGTCAGGTACCAAACCCCACCCCAGGGCCAGCTTCCTGCCCGCCCAGCTCACAGTCCGGCTGCTCTGTGCTCGCTTGCAGCCGCAGTCCCGGTTTGTTTCTTTCTCTCCTCCGGACGCAACTGCGTGGAGGAGTTTACACCAAAATTTGGATGTTTCCTGCACAGTCTTTCTACAGCAATTGCAAATCATCACTATCGGCTTCCTCCGTGCCAGACAGATAAACATTGTCTGGCAGGCACCTTTACGACGTACTTACCGAGATGTAGGCTAAAGACAGACCACCAACACCCCTAAAAATACGCAACCCCAAAAGCCCCAAGGCGTACTTTCACTTTCGCTTACCCACACCTCACTGCGCAAGCCTTTCCCCAAACCAGCTGTCCGACAGTGCCCACCCCCGCTGCCCGAGAAGCGCCCCCCGCCCCGCGCAGACCCCGCCCGCCGAGGCGGACAGGAAAAATTTCCCCTGCTCGTCCCGCAGGATGAGCCGGGGGCAGGAGCGGAAGCAGCCCCGCGGAGCCCCAGCGCAGCCCAGGGCCGCCTACCTGCCGGGCAGCGCGGAGCGGGCTGCGATGGGACGGGACGGGATGGATGGGAAGGAGCCGAGCGGCGCAGTGACACCGCAGCGGGGACACCGCGGTGTCACCCGCGGGGACGGGACGGGGCGGGGCGGGGCGGCAGGTGTTACCCCGCGGCCGCTCCCGTCCGGGTGTCCCCGATCTTCCGGCGGAGAGAAGAGGGAGCTTCGGGAGAGGGATTAACCAACAACCCCCAACCTGCCCCAGCGGTAAGAGATCCAGGTGTTTTAGACCCATGGGGCAAGCGCACCCCTGCAGCCCAGAGAGGCTCCTCTCTGCCTTACTACCCAGTGTCTCCATTTACACTCATCTTTTATAAAGTTCTTTTGCTTTTTTTTTTTTTTTTCATTTGAAAGAAAGCAACTGCATTGGGGAAGTTTCCGTGGTTTCTCACGATCTCCATTCCCCATCAGTCCTCGGGAAATCCCCAGCTATACTGCCCATATTGGCTTCAGGTGCACAGCCCTTCAACTGCAGTGTATGGCATGTATACCTGTGACAAAAGTGTTGGGTCTCATCCCTCTCCCCAGCACATAATGATTTTGTTTGCTTCACCTGAGACAGCTGGCTTACTGTGCACTGAATAAAGATCTAGCACCTTTTGGATAATGTCCACCAGGCCTTGGCATCAACCTATGCAAAAAACCAAGAGGAAGTATTGCAGTGCTGGCCAGAAAAAAAATTGTTATCTAGGGAGCCCCTTGGTATCCTTTGAAATACCTTGAAATCCTTTCAAGGCCAACCAATAATTCATGGTGAGCCAAGTAAGCACCTTGGGTTCACTATCGAGAAAAATTTTCTGTTTTAGCAAAGAACTCCAAACAAGCTACATAGAAGCGGGTATTACAAGAAATAATTTTCAGAAAATTGGTTTAAAAATGCACTGTTAATACTAGCAAAAAGAAACAGATCTCTACAGCACTTAGAGTTCTTTCAGTATTTCAAAAACAGGAAGTGCAAAAAACATCCCTGTCTCAGAAATGCTGTTTCAGCTGTGTCCTTGGTATTCCACAGTTAGACTACATTCTTGTTAAAGGACTAGAACCAGGTGAAAAACTCAAGATCTCCTGTGGTGATGGTTCTCACCATAAACTCCCTCTAAGGACATCTGCTGCAAAATTGTTCTTTACTAAGTGGTGGTCCAGTTGTTAGCCAAAACCACACATCTACACAAGAAGCTCAGCTAGAACCTGGAACAGGCTGCCAAAAACTCCTTTCAGCTCCAGGCAATGTCTCAAGGTACTAAATTGATGAGTCTGGAACGTAAAAGAGGAGGGCAGCTACAAATTTGCTCCAGCCTTGTCACAAGCAAAAGTAACTTCACTGCCATTAGCTCTCACTGCCTGACTCTGCCTGCTGGACACCAAAAGTGAAGTCAAGCACAGAAGAAGCACTCACAAAGCAAGTGGGATGGTTCTTGTGTCAGCAAGAACCTGGAGACCTCTGCACACAGGCACAGGAGGGGCTGGACATGGCAGGTGCTCTGTTTGTCTAAGCAGCTCACTCTTTCCTGCCAAAACCGAGATAAAGAGCACAAAAGAAGATCAGGCACAGCTGAAAGAGACAATTAATGCAAAAAGGAGTCGCACTGTTCCAGGGAAATATAGATTTATTCTGTGAGGGCACCTATGCAGCCAAGACATCGCCTCCTTAGGGACAGCAAAATCTGCCACAGAACAAAATGCTGCAAGTTTTGTTGTGCCGGATGAAGAAGAGGAAGGGATGATCAGCAGTGAATTCTGGAACTATCATTGCACAGCAATTCATGACCATTGCTGTGGCAGCAGCTGCTTCAGTGCCTTCTTCATTGACTTCCACAAAGGATTTGTGAATCACTTCAGAGAGCACCAGCTCATTACCAGGTGAGATTCCTGAAAAGTCAGCCTTCCCTGACTCAAATGCATCAGGCATTCCCATGCTTCTTAAAATAGGTTTCAGATCATAATCTTCTTCCAGTTTAAATCTGGGTAAAGACACCCTCATGTGTGCAGACTTCATCATTTCAGGGCTGATCCAACCCATCAGCTTCTCATATGTAAGTTCTCTTTCCAGCTGAAGAAAAATCCAAAATTTACTTAATTACAATGAGAATTGAGATCATATTACATAGCCAAAGTACTGATTTCTGTGTGTTTATTCAGATAGCACATAACATGCATCTTTCTTTTTCTGTGGATTAACCATGAAGACTGTGGGGGTTTTAATTTTTGATACTGGAATAAAAGGCACGCAAAACCTTAGTAATAAATTCCTGGACGAGATTGCCAAAGAGCCCAAACTGGTATCCTACCCTCCCCACAAAAGAGATCCTGCCCTTTCCTCTGAGCCTCTTTCCAGCCAGTGAGCCACACACCACCTCCCAGCTGCTCAGCACACAACACCTACAGGACAAGCCCCAGCACTTCCAAAGAGCCCACCCAAAATCCCCTCTCCCCATTCCATCATCACCATACTGTGCCTTCCCCACAACCACAGCTGACCTCTGCCCCTGAGCAGGGCCAGCTCTGCTTCCAGAGCCTCTGCCTAAGGCAGCAGCACACGGCCTGAGCAGCACTGTCCGTGCTGCAGGGGCTGTCCCTTTGGGGACAGGGAGGAGAGGGACATTTCTGCTGGCCTTGAGCACCAGAGACACAATTGCTCTCGAACTCAACTGCAGGTCCCTGTGCAATATCAGACTTTCTTCCCTGGAACGATTCAGGCTGTCTTTGCACTCAGCTCAACTACTTACTCTCTCCAAGCCTGTGGAGCCATCCTGGATTGCATCAGGGAGCAGGATGATCATGCTCAGTTCATTACCCACATAGGGCAGCTCCAGGATTTTGGTCTGGAAGTCCCCAATGTAGGTCATGTTAAAATTTGCCTCCCTGAACATCATCTGCACAGGTCTGGTCTCGTTCTAGAAATCAAGAGATGCCAACAGTTAGTGCTGAGCTTCTCTGCTGGTCTCGCACTACAAAGCAGGCAGCAAGTTACTCAGGGCATTTTAGGATTTGACCAAAGCGAACTGATCACACACCACTGATCTACAGCAGTCCTATTCACTGCAGCCCTACCACTGCCTTTTGGAAAGCATGAGGTAAAACCTGGCCAGGAGCAGCAGCAATGCACAATATTCCACCACAACTCAAAAGTTGAGATTATTCATCTGCCCTGTATCTTGCGGTGTTGCAACTTGAAACCTGGTTGTAAGCTTGCACAGCTGTAGGGAATAGAAACTGCAACAGTGTCTTTGGATACTCCTGCCAGCTTTTTCAACACATTCCAATAGGGAGTGACCAAGGTGGCAGGAGCCTAGTCATTCCAGCAGTCTCTGAAATGCTGTTGAAGGTAATCTTGGGGTAAGCAGCAACATTCCCTCATTTAGAAGTTATATCAGCACTTTCAAATACTCCTGGATTTATTTCACCACTGCAGGGAGGGACAGTTTCCAGGCAGGCATGAGATCTTCAATTTTCCTCAATGGTTGCTTCAAGCAGGTGACTTAAGGAAGGCACATTACCAGGTCTTGTTCATGACTCCTGGAGGCCAACCCATGGCTGCAAATAATCCTGAGGGGCAGCCACAGCCTGCCCATGCCAGAGGCCAAGTCCTCCTCAGGAGCAGTTCTAAAAATGAGACTGCAGAGCAGGTCTTCAGAGGACATTTGCTTTCCATTTCATATGGATTGGCTCAGGGGCAGGAATGCAGCAAGGAAGCTCTGACTGAAGAAGACTTAAATTCACAAACTTTCACACCTGTCTTTGTGCTACATCAGAAGTTCTAGTAATGATGTGAAAGTTAAGAGAAAGTCAGCAAAGAGAGACTTCAAATGAAAGGGAGGGGGAATAAGGAATCTCACACAGCCTATCCAAGGGAACCCTGATTGAAAGATCTAATTTCTTCTTAAAGGTGGTCATTTCAGACAACATCCACCTAACTGTCTATTGTGAGCATTTTAGCACATCATACCTTATTAATTTGGAATGGCCTTTCTCTGGTACTCTGTTTGTTGAACTGCTCTTCCCAGTTGCCTTTGAAATAGATGGCATTCACCAACACAAGCCTGGTCAGGGAATCAAGAGTCCCCTCTACCAACAGGTTCTGAATTTTACCTTTAAGGCACAAAGAAAAAACACACATTAATTAAGAGGTTGACATGGATCTAATTACTATCCAAGATAGTATCTGGTCTGCGGTTAATAAACAATAGAGAAGAGAATCATGTACCAGACACAGCAACAGCTCAGCATTTGAGTTGTTTGAATTCACAATCCTCTATCCTGAACTAGGTGTTTACCCAGACAATGGCTCCCATTAAACACAACTGGGCCCTTGGAAAAGCACTCACCTTCAGTTCTTTCCTCCACCCAGCCATTGATTTGTTTCCTGGAATCCTCCCAAGCATGCAGGAAGTCCATCTGTTCCAGGCCAGCATGGTAGGATTTCTGACTGGACTCTATAAATGACTAACAGGGACATTCACAACAGATTTTCAGCAAGAGATTCACTCTCCTTCAGACACAGGTGATTCTTGCACCACCTAAGGAAATCTGGCAGCTTTCCTTCCCCAGCTTCATACAGAGCCATTAGGGTGACATGTTCCTACTAGGATTTATTCCGCTTCTTTCAACAAAGAATCAATATTGTTATGGCTTATGCACAGTACTCCAAACTTCTACACTTCATAGACAAGGATGGTGGCCGGGGGGGGGGGGAATTCTTGTTTTTATTTTGTGCTTTATGGACATGACATTTAGTTTTATAAATTCCTTTAAGAGACTTCTGCTAAGGGACACACCAACTATTTGTCCCACAGCCAAATAAATGAATGGATCACAGAACCCTCAAGTGTAGACACTGATGGACTTTACCCTGCTTTGCCATATTCAGATCCCATGTTATTTAAAGGAGATTCTCCACCAAGTTCAGACACCAGGCTCTGGCAGAATCCATTGCACTCCTGGCTCTCAGGCCTCAGTTGTTGGAAAGTAAACCCCAAAGCCTGCCTTGATCTCCAGAGGATAGACGTAGCAAGTACATTATCCTAAGAATCATCACAAATTTAATGGCTACTCACTGCAAGAAACTCAAAGGTCTTTTCTCCATAGAGCCGGTTCGCAGTTCTCAGGATGTATTTGGTGTTTGGATCATTAATTTCAGAGAGAAGGGACTGATACCCATTGTGAGCATCCTGGGCATTCTTCAGAGAAAGCACCTGCACAAAGACAACATCTGCAGTGCTGGTACAACTCATAAATTGGGGAGCAGCAGAGTCAGCAGTCCTGATTTTCCTTCCCTCAAGGCAAGCGCTACAGGATCACAGAATGGCTCAGTCTGGAAGGGACCTGTGGGGACAATCTGCTCCAAAGCCCTGCCCAAGCAGGGATACCTAGAGCTGGTAGCTCAGACTGTGTCCATGTATTTTGACTATCTGCAACTACAGGAACAACTCAGGGTTTTGAGAAATTTTCATGAAGTACATGGAAAAAAGATCAGAGTTTATACTTCACTCCCACATTGAAAGGAAGCAAACATCCAAACCAAAATGATTGATTCTGCACTCAATAGTGTCACATCCTACATAAAACACAAGCCAAGAGATACTTGCTACCTGAGCACACTTTTAAAAAGGAATAAATCAAATTGCAGTTACCAGTCTGAAATACAGGCACAGGGATTTATAATATAGTTTTATATGCCTGGCTCCTTTTTCAGAACATGTATCATATGATAATAAGCCCAAGCAAGCAAGGAAAAGAAAATAATTTATGTAGCCACCTATTGATCAAAAAAAAAACCAATTCCAGGAACCTTCTAATTATATATTAAGGAAGATCACCCTCAAAAACCTGCACACACTAAATCCAGAAAATTCTTCATTTCATACTGAACAAAGCTCACACTGAAAAACCAAAGAAAACAGGTTCTGTTTACACACACACTCCAGAGGAAGAGCTCTGCTCTCTCATGCCACAGTGACAATCACAGTTTAGCACAAGTGCATGTCACAGACTGAGGACACATCTCTTCTTCATATGATCCCATCAAATGCAATCCAATAACTTTATTGTGACCTACCTTACGAATTTGGGCTTCAGTGCTACCTCTTGCACCCAGCAAAACCATAGACAAAGCAGAAGAAATACTAAATGGTGAAAAGAACACATTCTGCCCACTGTTCTTCTCACACAGCTTTCTTAACAGGTCCACAGCAAAAGTGCTGTTTGCTGCACAGAGGCTTTCCATGCTTCCCAGCCTGGGACATAAAACACAGAACGAGAATGATTCAAATTTATTTGAATACAAAACAGTTATTTGTTATTTGTATACCTTCTACACTTCCCAGCATAAACTAGGCAGCAAAGGCTGGAAAATTATCAGCTCACTGAAAACTGATTTGGTGCCACAAGCACCTGAGATCCCATACTACACCTTTGAGTTATTTTCCTAATTTAGAGGCTACTTCAAATTTCAATCCCATACCTACACAGTGTGACTTCTTTTGAGGTGATCAGGCACAACAGCATTTTCTGCAGGACTTCCTGTAAGAAGTTCCTCTTGACTTCACAAAGCAAATAATTTCCCTTCATTGGACCACCAGAGGCAAAGTTAGAACAGCAGAATTACCAACTCTTACCTTCTCTAAGTCTACAGACCTTCAGTGGTAGCTGCAGCTTGCTCCTGTGTATGCACGCTGGGTTTTAAACCTGCCCGCCAGGCTAGGAGAAGCCAGCAGAAGGACTTTGCCTAAAAGCAAGAGAACAAGCAAGAATTTCATTGTCATTAAAACAATCTTTTACCAAAAAATAAGAAAAAAAACCTCCACAAACAAATCGAAAAAAATAAGAACATTAAGAATATTATAAAAAAATAAAAATATTCTTTCACAATAAGAAATCCCAAACAAACTAAAGTCCCCATCCATACTACGCAAATATAAATCACATCATAATAGGATATTTGCTCCGCACATTACCAACAACTTTACTTATCGCTCCAAGTAATGGGACTACATATAAAAGAAAAATTCGTTGCATTATAACTGGAAATTGGAAGGATTTGTGCCGGCAAACCCATGTTAAAACTCTTCTGACTGACACACTCCGCACCCCCACACATTTCACTCACACAGCAGCTCTCCCCACACTTCTTGAAGCAGAACTGGCAGATTTGCTGCTTCCTTTTATACCCAAATGTGGGCAGAAGTTTGCATCAGAATTTGGGGATTTCCTGCACTACCCACAGAAATTCCTGATATCGATGCCAGTTCTCTCAGGCAAACACACAATCGGCACGGCAGCTCTGCAAAGGTCTTTTAGCAAGCTCTGTGCTAAAGAAAACACCGGCACCTCCCGAGCCAACATCTAAAGCAACGCCCCAGTGGTGCCTTCGCTTCCCTTTGCTTCCACCGCCCGTGCGAGCCCCGCACCCAAACCCCCTCACAGCCCGCACCCCTCGCTGCCCGAGCAGCGCTGCGGTTTCGGGAGCCGAGGAAACAGTTCCGCCTTTCACCGCGATACCGCCCCATTCCCGCAGGATGCCCCGCGGGCGGGGACAGCGCGGAGCTGCCCCGGGCCCCTCCCGCCCCGCGCAGCCCCAGCGCGGCCGAGGCCGCTTGGCCGCGCCCCTGCCCGGCCGGCGACAACCGCGGAGAGGAGACAGCGCCCGCCGGGCCGGGCCAGCGACACCCAACCCCGCCGGGCCGGGCCAGAAGGCTCTTCCTCCTGCCACAGCCCGACACATACGGGTATGATTTAGATCTGAAAAAGGAGACATAGAACCATGCAGTGCTGATACTTCTTTTATTATTCCAGGAACGGGACCCACAAAATACATCCCAATATAAGGAAAGCTGTTACATCTCTGTCTTTGGTATTATACAGGTAAACTATGGTGTTTAAAAAAATATTAATAGGATAAACATATAACAGTAGCCAAAAAAAAAATTTGAAATTAAGACTTTCTCCTTCGAATATTCCATAGGCAGCAGCTGCCCTTTTATTTCATTCTTTGATAAATGACCAGAACCAGGGGACAGGCAATAAACCCAAGTGTCCTGGAGTGAGGAATAAAGGTACTCGCCCCACAAATACCTCCCAGGTACATCTCTTATAACAGCATACTTTCATTCCCATTCATGCCTAAGTGCGGCTCCAGTTGTTAGCTAAAAGCCCCCATCTATGAAGGATGTTCTGCAATACCTGGAACAGGCTGCCAAAAACTCCTTTCAGCTCCAGGCAATGTATCAAGGCACTCAATGGAGGAGACTGGAAGGTAAAAGTGGAGGGCAGCTACAAATGTGCTCCAGCCTTGTCACAAGCAGAAGTAACAATCCCACGGGATCTCACTGCCTGACTCTGCCTGCTGGACACCAAAAGTGAAGTCAAGCACAGAAGAAGCTCTCACAGAGCAAGTGGGATGGCTCTTGTGTCAGCAAGAACCTGGAGACCTCTGCACACAGGCACAGGAGGGGTTGGACATGGCAGCTGCTCTGTTTGTCTAAGCAGATCTGTTATTCCTGCCAAGCCTAAGATCAAGACTACAGAAGAAGTTCAGGCACAGCTGAAAGAGACAATTAGTGCAGAATGAGTCACCTTGTTCTAGGGAAATATGAATTTATTGCCTGAAGGCACCTATGCAGCCAAGCCATCTCCTCCTTAGGGACAGCAAAATCTGCCACAGAACAAAATGCTGCAAGTTTTGTTGTGCCGGATGAAGAAGAGGAAGGGATGATCAGCAATGAATTCTGCAGTGGACATAACAGCGGAACACCCACATATTACCATTGCTGTGGCAGCAGCTGCTTCAGTGCCTTCTTCATTGACTTCCACAAAGGATTTGTGAATCACTTCAGAGAGCACCTGCTCATTACTAGGTGAGATTCCTGAAAAGTCAGCCTTCCCTGACTCAAATGCATCAGGCATTCCCATGCTGCTCAGAACCGGTTTCAGATCATAATTTTCTTCCAGTTTAAATCGGGGTAAATACACCATCACCTCTGTATAGTCCATCATTTCAGGATTGATCCAACCCATCAGCTTCTCATATGTAAGTTCTCTTTCCAGCTGAAGAAAAATGCCAAATTTACTTAATTACAATGAGAATTGAGATCATATTACATAGCCAAAGTACTGATTTCTGTTTGCTTATTCACATAGCACATCATATGCATGGGGTTTTTCCTTTTGTTATGCATGAAGACTGTGGGTTTTTCTTTTCATTTTTATTTGGAGAATAAATGACTCAAGAAGCCTTGGTAATAAATTCCTGGACGAGATTGCCGAAGAGCCCAAACTGGTATCCTACCCTCAGCACAAAAGAGATCCTGCCCTTTCCTCTGAGCCTCTTTCCAGCCAGTGAGCCACACACCACCTCCCAGCTGCTCAGCACACAACACCTACAGGACAAGCCCCAGCACTTCCAAAGAGCCCACCCAAAATCCCCTCTCCCCATTCCATCATCACCATACTGTGCCTTCCCCACAACCACAGCTGACCTCTGCCCCTGAGCAGGGCCAGCTCTGCTTCCAGAGCCTCTGCCTAAGGCAGCAGCACACGGCCTGAGCAGCACTGTCCGTGCTGCAGGGGCTGTCCCTTTGGGGACAGGGAGGAGAGGGACATTTCTGCTGGCCTTGAGCACCAGAGACACAATTGCTCTGGAACTCAACTGCAGGTCTCTGTGCAATATCAGACTTTCTTCCCTGGAACGATTCAGGCTGTCTTTGCACTCAGCTCAACTACTTACTCTCTCCAAGCCTGTGGAGCCATCCTGGATTGCATCAGGGAGCAGGATGATCATGCTCAGTTCATTACCCACATAGGGCAGCTCCAGGATTTTGGTCTGGAAGTCCCCAATGTAGGTCATGTTAAAATTTGCCTCCCTGAACATCATCTGCACAGGTCTGGTCTCGTTCTAGAAATCAAGAGATGCCAACAGTTAGTGCTGAGCTTCTCTGCTGGTCTCCCACTACAAAGCAGGCAGCAAGTTACTCAGGGCATTTTAGGATTTGACCAAAGGGAACTGATCACACACCACAGAATGCAGCCCTACCACTGCCTTTTGGAAAGCATGAGGTACAAACAGTGCATCATATTACACCACAACTCAAAAGCAGATTATTAATCAGCCCTATATCCTTTTGGTGTTGCATCTTGATAGCTGGTTCTAAGCTTGCATAGCTGCACGGAATAGAAACTGCAACAGTGTCTTTGGATACTCCTGCCAGCTTTTTCAACACATTCCAATAGGGAGTGACCAAGGTGGCAGGAGCCTAGTCATTCCAACAGTCTCTGAAATGCTGTTGGAGGTAGTCTTGGGGTAAGCAGCAACATTCCCTTATTTAGAAGTTATATCAGCACTTTCAAATACTCCTGGATTTATTTCACCACTGCAGGGAGGGACAGTTTCCAGGCAGGCATGAGATCTTCAATTTTCCTCAATGGTTGCTTCAAGCAGGTGACTTAAGGAAGGCACATTACCAGGTCTTGTTCATGGCTCCTGGAGGCCAGCCCAGGGCTGCAAAGAATCCTAAGGCGCAGCCACGGCCTGCCCATGCCAGAGGCCAAGTCCTCCTCAGGAGCAGTTCTAAAAATGAGACTGCAGAGCAGGTCTTCAGAGGACATTTGTTTTCCATTTCATATGGATTGGCTCAGGGGCAGGAATGCAGCAAGGAAGCTCTGACTGAAGAAGACTTTAATTCACAAACTTTCACACCTGTCTTTGTGCTATATCAGAAGTTCTAGTAATGATGTGAAAGTTCAGAGAAAGTCAGCAAAGAGAGACTTCAAATGAAAGGGAGGGGGATCAAGGAATCTCACACAGCCTATCCAAGGGAACCCTGATTGAAAGATCTAATTTCTTCCTAAAGGTGGTCATTTCAGACAACATCCACCTAACTGTCTATTGTCAGCATTTTAGCACATCATACCTTATTAATTTGGAATGGCCTTTCTCTGGTACTCTGTTTGTTGAACTGCTCTTCCCACTTGCCTTTGAAATAGATGGCATTCACCAACACAAGCCTGGTCAGGGAATCAAGAGTCCCCTCTACCAACAGGTTCTGAATTTTACCTTTAAGGCACAAAGAAAAAACACACATTAATTAAGAGGTTAACATGGATCTAATTACTATCCAAGATAGTATCTGGTCTGCGATTAATAAACAATAGAGAAGAGAATTATGTACCAGACACAGCAACAGCTCAGCATTTGAGTTGTTTGAATTCACAATCCTCTATCCTGAACTAGGTGTTTACCCAGACAATGGCTCCCATTAAACACAACTGGGCCCTTGGAAAAGCACTCACCTTCAGTTCTTTCCTCCACCCAGCCATTGATTTGTTTCCTAGAATCCTCCCAAGCATGCAGGAAGTCCATCTGTTCCAGGCCAGCATGGTAGGATTTCTGACTGGACTCTATAAATGACTAACAGGGACATTCACAACAGATTTTCAGCAAGAGATTCACTCTCCTTCAGACACAGGTGATTCTTGCACCACCTAAGGAAATCTGGCAGCTTTCCTTCCCCAGCTTCATACAGAGCCATTAGGGTGACATGTTCCTACTAGGATTTATTCCGCTTCTTTCAGCAAAGAATCAATATTGTTATGGCTTATGCACAGTACTCCAAACTTCTACACTTCATAGACAAGGATGGTGGCCGGGGGGGGGGGAATTCTTGTTTTTATTTTGTGCTTTATGGACATGACATTTAGTTTTATAAATTCCTTTAAGAGACTTCTGCTAAGGGACACACCAACTATTTGTCCCACAGCCAAATAAATGAATGGATCACAGAACCCTCAAGTGTAGACACTGATGGACTTTACCCTGCTTTGCCATATTCAGATCCCATGTTATTTAAAGGAGATTCTCCACCAAGTTCAGACACCAGGCTCTGGCAGAATCCATTGCACTCCTGGCTCTCAGGCCTCAGTTGTTGGAAAGTAAACCCCAAAGCCTGCCTTGATCTCCAGAGGATAGACGTAGCAAGTACATTATCCTAAGAATCATCACAAATTTAATGGCTACTCACTGCAAGAAACTCAAAGGTCTTTTCTCCATAGAGCCGGTTCGCAGTTCTCAGGATGTATTTGGTGTTTGGATCATTAATTTCAGAGAGAAGGGACTGATACCCATTGTGAGCATCCTGGGCATTCTTCAGAGAAAGCACCTGCACAAAGACAACATCTGCAGTGCTGGTACAACTCATAAATTGGGGAGCAGCAGAGTCAGCAGTCCTGATTTTCCTTCCCTCAAGGCAAGCGCTACAGGATCACAGAATGGCTCAGTCTGGAAGGGACCTGTGGGAACAATCTGCTACAAAGCCCTGCCCAAGCAGGGATACCTAGAGCTGGTAGCTCAGACTGTGTCCATGTATTTTGACTATCTGCAACTACAGGAACAACTCAGGGTTTTGAGAAATTTTCATGAAGTACATGGAAAAAAGATCAGAGTTTATACTTCACTCCCACATTGAAAGGAAGCAA